AGGGGAGTTTGAACAGAGCTAATTTGAACACAGGTTCCCTGTATGGGCAGATAATTCTGTCCTTGAACTTTACACCATCCTGCCTCTGTTTCCCAAGCACTTGGATTACAGGTGTTGGCCACTTTTAGTTGTGACGTTCTTTTCTCTAAAATGGAAAATAAAAATGTAAAATACTGAGACATTGTATTAGAACTAAATTACGTTAATGGAAAAAGGAAAGTTTACCCTGGAGTTTCATTTTATGAATTACATCCCGGGGCTGGAGAGTCAGCCCCACAGGTAAAGTTTTATGAGCACAAGCCTGTCGGCCCACATTTAGGTTTCCAAGGGCATTATCAGAAGGCAGACACTTCCACAGCAAGAGGGGAGGCAGAGCTAGAAGCCATCCAGAAGCTCGTGGGCCAGCTGGCAGAGCAGCAGAAGAAGGGGCCCTTCCTGACCAAGTGGAGGGTGAGAACGATCTCCACAAATAAATAAGTGTGAGGTAGACGTCTACTGAGAAATATGCAGCTGAAATCTTGGATATTATTTCACTTTCATTAATATAGTAATCTTCAAGTCTTGCTTTAAAAGTAACAACTTTTCCATCCAATTTCATGAATAAAAAGCAAGGTGCCTTCTGATGCTTTACTGATCTTTGTGACAAAGGTCACACACAGTTCACCCTAAAAAGCGTCTAAATTTAGAGATTTGTCACTGGAGCAAAGCTGCCATGCACTCGTAATAGAACAAGACAGGCTCTGCAAACTATGCCAGGCATGTGCTTGCAGTGCTGTCACAGCAAGGCCAGGCTCTGTGCCTGTGTGCTGGTGACCTGAGAGAACTCAGCCTTCTCTAGGCCAGTCACAGAGTGATCTAGAACTGGAAGCAAATAGATGCCTTTTAAATTACTTCTAAAAGAAACACTGGGGGTGGGGGAGCTTGAGGTGTAAACCCAGGGGCAGAAGTCCCAGATAGTTGTGTGTGATGTCCTAGATTCCACCATCCACCACTCAGCATGGTGTCGTGTCACCTTTGTGTGGAGATATTCTAGGGGCACAGGCACACTTTCCTATCCCTTTAGAGGACAGGACTCCGGGTGGGTGTTCAGAGGGCTAGTTTTTGTTTGCTTTTAATTAAAGTGGGTTTAATATACCAGTATTTGTAGATCAGTCGTTTATTGTTTCATTGTAGTTTCCCAAAGCATTTTAAATTACAGTTGTCAGAAGGGGTATTAAGATCGGTAAAGCCTATTTCCATGATACTAGCATAGCAAATTACCATTCCTCTAGCTATTTACGGTCTTTTCCAGCATTTTTAAATGCAGTGTAGTTTTACAATAAATTATACTGCTCCATCACATCTTCTCTGATAATGTCCTTTGTGCAAGAAGGTAGAATATAGAATAACAAGTCTAAAGAGGATCTACAGAAGCCTAGAGGGGTGGTACATGCCTACAAACCCAGCACTTGGGAGACCGAGGCAGGAGGATTGCTATGAGTTTTAAGGTCAGCTTGAGTTACATAAGAAGAAACAATAAAATAAATGAGGAATATTTAAAAAGCCAAGCAAAGTGGCTCATTTCTGTAACCCCAGGACTTAAGAGGCTGAGGCTGGAGGATTGCTACAAGTGCAGTGCCAGCCTGGGTTTCATAGTGAGTTCAAGGTCAGCCTGAGCTACAGAGAAAGACCCTGTATCAAAGCCAAAAACAATCAAAATAGGAACCAGAGACGCAAGCTTCACAAACCCTTTCTCTAGTCATGTGAAGCTTGCATTTACGTTGAGTTATGCCTGTAGTTAACATACGCTTATTTCTGTGACTTTTTTTTTAACTTTGAGTTGCTTTGTTAATATACAGGATAGTATATATCTTTCTACTTTTCATCTATTTCCTTCTCAAGGACAAAGCATAAAGGAAGGAAGAGCATAGGGAAGCCGGAAAGATGGATTAGTGCTTCCGATAGTGTAGTGTCCTTGCAGGGAACCAGAATCCGCTCTAGTATTTGCCTTGGAACCACCTGTATTTCCAGCTTCATGGCAGCCAATGCCTTCTTCCTGGCCTCTGTGGACACCTGCTCTCATGTGGTACACATACAAATACTTAGGCACATAAATATATACATAGAATAAAATAAATAAATCTTTAGAATTGGTGAGGGTAAGGACGGTGACAATTCTTGGTTGTTGTGACATAGCCGTTCTATCCTGAGTAATGGACATATGCTTTTTTTTCTTATTTGACCCCTATACTTACACAAAGTACCTTTATCTTCATTTTATTTTTATTTTGATTGTCTTTATTTTTTTTCATAAGACAGGGTCTTGCTATTCAGTCTAGACTGGCTTCAAACTCCTGATCTTCATGTCCTAACCTCCTAAGAACTGAGATTACAAGTGTGTAACCCCTTACCCCCAGCCCTAGCCTCATTTTGAAGATGAGAAAACCAGCTGAGAAAGACTAGTGTATTCAAGTATGTGGATACTAGGAAGCAAAGCTAAATTTTGAACCTAGCCTTTGACTACAAAGCATCACTTCAAACAAGATAGAAGCTAACAGCTGTCAAAGTGCTGAACTTGTGGAACGGAGTGAAAAAGCAACATACCTTAGGGTGATCCCTGGGCTGGCCAGCCAGGTGTGGAGACTGCTGCGATCTCATTGAGAGCTTCCAAGAGGGGCCACTACTTGAAATGGATGCCCAGACAGAGCCTCTGATGTGCACAGCACCAGGTGAGATGCCAAAATGAGAATGCTTGGACTGACACTGTTGCTCCAGCTTTTAACAAACACCATTTCTTAAAAGTTGATGAGTTTTTTAAGGACAGAAAGACAGGTCATTCTTGGCTAGATTCAGCACTTTCTCTTCATGAGCACTGTGGGATTCACGGGATGACTGTCCAGTAAGTAATCAAATGATCAAAAGTGGCAAGATAAATTCTTAGAACCTGTTGGCATCTCCAAGAAGGACAGTGCCAGGTGTAGTAGATCAAGCCAAGACTGATGCATACTTTTAGATGTAACTGAAGCAAGAAACTGGGGCCAGGGACACGAACTCTATAGAAACTGTGTGGTGGTTTCAATGAGAATGGCCCCCATAGACTCGTGTTTGAATGCTTGGTCCCTAGTTAGTAGAAATGTTTGGGAAGGATTAGGGGGTGTGGCCTTGTTGGAGGAGGTGAATGAGCTTTGAGGTTTCAAAAGCCCATACTAGGGCCAATCAGTTTCTCTCTCTCTCTCTCTCTCTCTCTCTCTCTCTCTCTCTCTCTCTCTCTCTCTCTCTCTCTCTCTCTCTCTCTCTCTCTCCCTCTCCAGCACCAAGCATGCCTTGCTTGCCTGCCAGCATGTTCCCTGACATGATGATCATAAATCAATCCTCTGAAACTATAAGCAAGTCCTCAATTAAATGGCAGCTCAAAACTGTTTACAATTGTAGTCTCATAGGATCTGATGCCCTTTTCTCGTGTGCAGACATATACATGGACAAAACACCCATATGCATAAAAATATAAATAAACAAATCCTTTTAAAAACTAAGAATAAGTAGCAGCAGACAGAAATAACATCATCAAATTGGGCACTCACAACATCCAGAGGAGATACTAGGGAAGTTGAGGCAGCCAGCAGGAGTTGCTGCTTGAGCTTTCTCTCTATGAGTGAGCTTCCTATAACTGAACTTCCAACTTCACCCCTCCCCCTCCCCCCCCCCCCCCGCCTCTATTAGAGATGACTCCAGCTGTTTTTTGAGGACACAATGTCTTTCATGTTTTACTGTTCTCTTCCCCCCACCCCCATCCTCAGACACTTTGAGGCAAACATGCTTGGGGCTGAGTTGGGAGGGAAGGCACATCATTTTAAAGCCAGCTTCTTTGTAAACTCAAACAGCACACAATGATTGACTAATGCAATGTATGTTACACTGACATGCAGGAAGCCCTGGTTCCCTCCATAAACTGAGCATGGTAGTATATAACCCGTAATTCTAGTACCTAGGAGGTGGAGGCAGACAGGTCAGAAGTTCAGTGTTGTCCTCAGTCACACTGCTGCTAGAGAACCCATGCCTTCTAAGTACCAGACCCAAAGGAGAAGAGAGGGGAAGGAGGGGAGGGGAGTATGAACATGAATCTCCTTGTCTTGACAAGAGCAACCAAAGGTAAGAATTCTCAAAGCTGATAGTGACAGCTAGTCAAGCCAGAGTAGCAAGCAGTTTTATTTATTGCAGGCCTGGCCATAAGCCATAGAGAAGTCAAAGAGATATTTCCCCTCCCACAGGAAGTACTCAATAAATAGGCACTTTTTAAAGGTTGATAGGAGATGAAAAGGAGAACTAAAAGCATATTAAATGCCCTGGGCATCAACTTTCCTCGTTATCTCCCCCTTGTGGCAACACATTTCCCTTTTAACAGAGGCATAACTGTATTAATGAAGTGCATAACAACTTTGCTATCAGAAACCAGAAATAACCAAAGGGCTTCAAGATAGAAACAAAACAATGTCTTGAACGAAGTTCTATGTGCCTTGGAAAAATCAAGGTTTGTTACAACTTTTGCTCGACTTATGCGTCTGATTAAACAAAAGAAGGGTCTGATACAAGCGACCTTAACAGATTTACAAAGAAAGTCAGCTTCCTCTGCGCTGACGGCAGTACATTCCACCTCTCGGGCCCTCACACTTGCCAAGTGTGTTAGAAATTGTTAACTAAAACAAACAAGCCTTAGTCCAAGATCTAAGGTCAGCTAAGTCCTGGTCTTGTGCTTTGGCTTTGGGATGTAGAGGGCTCTTTGAAGACAATCAACATACCACTTGGGGCTTGCTCAAGATGCATTCCTTTACCCTGACTCTATCTTAAATAAATGTTTCGAATTAGCAACGCGGGATGGGGCTCGCCCTCTAGCGGAACCCAGGTTGTCTAGGAGCCCACCAGGAGGAAGAACTACATCTCCCAGGGTGCTCCGGGAAGGGATGCCTCGCCTTCATTGGCCAAGGGTGGGTGACGCTAAGTGTTTTGGCCCAACGGTCACATGTTTCCTTTGTTGTGAGCAGTGGCAGAGACTGGTGGCTCCAGGAGACGCCGGCGTAGCAGAGACTGCGGGGTCGCCGCTCGTGCCGCTTCCAGCCTGAGCCGAGAGGTACCGGGATGGCCGCTCCAGGCAGCCCGCGTCCGCGGTGCTGACCACCGGCACCTGCGGGAGGGAGGCGAGGCCCCCGGCAGCCAGAGGCCGGGCGTGGGGACCGGGCGGTGACTAGCCCCGCGGCGGTGATGCGATTCGGGCGGAAGCGCCCCGAGTGCTACGGCCTCGGATCTGGCGTTTCCATGGGGGTGAGGGCGACCGCGGGTGCTGTCGCCGAGCACTGACAGAATCAGGGAGCTGGGGCCACAGCCGCCCGCCGTGCGGTTGCGAAACCTGCCAGGCGTGGTCACCTGACCGTTACCCGCCCCCGCTGAGCCTTTGTTTACCCGGAGCGAGGCCGCGGGCCGTCCCGGGGGAGCCCCCGCCCGGCCGCCCGCTTCCTTCTCCGCCGGGCTCTGCTTCTTAATTTAGTTCCCGATGTCCCCGCCCCCAAGTCCCAGACACCCGAGGCGAAGACCGTTCGGGAGCCCGGGATTGGACGCCGCCGGCAGGGCCCGGCCGGCGAGTTCCGAGTTTTTATTGGCGGGGCCGGGTGGCTGGGTGGCCCGCGCCGCGCAGTCCCGCCCTCGCTTGAAGGTGACCTGAAGGACGTGGGCGCCGCGGGAGGGGGCCACAGTGGGGGGGCGTGCCCCGCGGCGGCCAAGGCGAACGCCGAGCCGACGGGGCACCAAGTGACCGGTCAATGCAGAGAAGTGCGCTGCCGCCAACTTGGCCTGGCCTGCTCGGCGCAGGCTTAGATAGTAAAGGTTGAGCCACAAGGCCACATTTGGGGAAGCCTCGCTGTCAGCTCTAGCGGATTTTAAGGATTAATTAGTTTTGTTCTAAACGGCGTGCTAGTGTTTAGAGCTGACGCCGGGCAAGTCCAGCAGGTGATTGGTTGATCAGGGGTTGGTTTGTTTTTCTTCGTTAGGGTTTAAAATCTACCCCTTGCCACTTAAGATTTAAAAGATGGCTTTAAAAAAATAATGTGAAGTTATTGGTTTAGAAAAAAATAATAATGTGAAGTTGTTGGTTTAGAAGTCCAAGTTCTGTATGTTTTTGTATGCGCGTTCTTAGTTTTCCCTGTTTTCCAATACACACTTTCGTGTTTTAATCTTCCAGGTAATTTAGACATTTCTGAGAAATGTGTTGAAGGCATATTTTGGAAAACTAAATTAAGATCACTGAAAGGTCGGCCATTTTCAGCCAGAGGATGTTAAAGGTGGTTTTCCCAAGCTCTTAAGTTTATGGGGCTCTTATGTTTTGTCATTTTCATAGCAGAAAAAAAGTGAGCTTCAGTGAAGCAGGTCTTACTGGCTACACATTCCTAATAAAGTTTATAAAATATTTCTGTGCGCATTGGTATTTTGCCTGCATGTTTTGTCTGTGCGAAGGTGCCAGATTCCTTGGAACTGTAATTATTACAGGCATTTGTGAGCTATGTGGGCTGTGAGAACTGAACCCAGGTCCTTTGGAAGAGTAGCCAGTGCTCTTAAGCACTGAGCCATCTCTCCAGCCCCTCTTAATAGCTTTTTGTTTAAGATGTATTTATTCCGTGAATGGTGTTTTGCCTTCTTGTATCCACCACCTGCGTTCAGTACCAAAGAAGGCCCAAAGAGGGCGCCATAGCTCCTGGAACTGGAGTTACAGATAGCGCAGGTTATGATCTGCCTTTTGGGTGCGGAGAATCAAACCTGGGTTCTCTGCAAGAGCGACAAGTGCTCTTAACTGCTGAACCATCGCTCCAGCCCTGCTTACTATTAAAAATTCATGTAATGATGGCTGTATCAGAATAAGCAGCTGTCTGATCAGAACACATAATCACTAGTGTACTAAGGGTACTAAATAGATCTTAATATATACAAATGCTTTCCACTATATAAAAACTACCATTTGGTAAGTCACATTTCTTCAAACAAAGCCTGTGAGTTGTCTCTAAACAGGAAGAAGAAAAGAATACTATTATAAGAGTTATCAGTTCTATCTTGGATTTTACTGGCTTTTGTCCAAGCTGCTAAAACCTTAATGCTTTTTCAGTGTGCTTTTTAACTTCCTTGTTTTCCTGCCATTTCATTAAGATTCTAAGGTCAAGCCTTTTGAAATAAACACTTAGCAAATACATTGCAGCATTTATCCTTGTATGTACTTTACTCTTACCTTGAAAATTTAAGACAACTCTTTTCATCAAGTACATAGGTATGGACTCTAATGAAAAATGTCAACAAAAATGTCCTCACAAGCATTCATACAAAAAACATTTCATTTCTTTTGTGACTGCAACAATGACACTAGACAGTTGGATGTTTTAACATCTCTGTTCTTCATGCTATAAAACCCCTGATAGCTCGGCAAAGCTAGTCCCCTGTGGGTAATTCCACTTATTTGGAAGGCTGAGACAGGACCAGCCTGGACAACCTAAACATCATGGATAGGGGGCAATAACAGAATAGGTAATAAACTCAGAGTTGTAACTCTTCCAGCACACCCTCCTCACTCCCCCTTGAGACTGAGGATTAGACTCAGAGCCTTCTAGCATGATAGCCACTGAGTTCTCTCTAGTTGGCTGGTCATCTTAGATAATCTACATTTTAAGAGTGGAGGTCATGTCTGTGAGCCCAGCAGGGGGATCTAGATTTTGTGCCAAAACTGGAATACACAAGGAGACCCCTGTCTCCAAATAAAGTCATTAGATTTTGTTGGAGTTTCTAAAATTATTTCTGAATAATGTATGTAGTACTAAGTTAAATAAAAGTCATTGACTTCCAAGTGTATATTAAAGGGTCATTTAGGATTCAAGGCAACACCGTAGCTTGTTTAGTTTTAGTAAGTCAAAACTTATTTTGATAGTAAGAAAATTAACAATCAAAATTCTGTTTCTCCCTCCCACTCACAACAGGATTTCGTTTTGTAGCTATAACTAGCCTGATACTTGCTATGTAATTCATAATAGCCTCTAATTCACAGTGATCCTCCTGCCTCAGCTTCTGGAGTGCTGGGATTACAAGTGTTAACTCTCTTACTTTGCTAGGCCTTCATTTTTAAAGAAAAATGCAGTAGGTCCTGGAGGGATGACTGACAAAATGGTATTGTTTCCATGTCAGGTCTAGTGAGGAGCATAAGTTAGGCACAGCTTTTTAGACAGTGAAAACATGTGAAATTTATATATAGTTGCAAAACATATTTTCACATAAGTGTGAAATTGATACAAATATGTAAAAGCCTGATTAGTTTAGTACTTTGTAAAGAATTTAGTCTGTTGGAAGCATTTGCTAACATCCTTTTGCATTACCATTAGATCTTTAAAGGTAACTCTGCTCAGCTGCCCTTTCTTGGTTCTGCTTTATCCATGGTGGTTTGAGAAAATGTGATGTGGAACGTGATGGCATGGATGGTTGGCAGGCTGTAGGAGCTATACTAGTAGATTGCCATAGCTTCTTGTTCTCTGTCTTTCGAAGGCCTTAGTGAGTCCATACTGACTGACTGTGACCTTTTTGTAGAGGGTTCTTAAGGGAAACAAAGCTTGCTGTGTTACCACACTGTAATCACCCTTTGTACAGCTTCTCCAGCCTTCATACCGTGACCACCCTGCTCTTGCCCTTTACCTGTTTGATCTTCAGGGTTACCTAACTGGGCATGGTGGCACCTGTAATCCCAGAGGCAGGCAGATCTCTGTAAGTTTTAGACCATCCTAGTCTACATACTGAGTTCCAGGCCAGTCAGGGCTACATAAAAAAAACCCTGTCTCAAACAACAACAAAAATATCAATTTAAAAAGAGAAGAAAACAGCTTAAATGTTACCTAAAAGTCCTGCAGAAAATGCTGGATGGGTTATTTTCTACTTTAGATGGTATAATTCTACACCAAATGAATCATGAGAGGCTCTATTCCAATTTGTGTTTGAGTTCTGCTAGAGAAATGCTGAGAATTTGGATTCATATTAGTGTTGGAGATCTTGTTTGATTCTAGTGTTAGCCAAACCTACATATCTTAAAATTGAATTTGAAGCTAGCATTTGCTACTACCTGGTGTCAGACACAAAAGGATTCTCTTTCATTGGCTTGGGCCTTACTAAGTACTGGTAAAGACTACTATGCAGTAAGATTAACCATCCTGTAACTTGACCAAGATGCAATACATTTTTTCTTCATTGTTTTGTTTCTTGTTTGGTTTTTCAAGACAGGGTTTCTCTGTATTGCTTTGGAGCCTGTCCTGGAACTCACGCTATAGACCACGCTGGCCTCAAACTCACAGAGAACCCTTTGCCTCTTTCTCCTGAGTACTGGCATTAATGGTGTGTGCCACGAATACCCGGCAAGATACAATATTCTTTATCAAGTGTACCCACAAATTAGACTTCCTAATGAAAGTAGGGACATATACAAGATAGTATTCATGTCCTAGTCATAGGGTAGTCCTGGTATAAAGATGTGATTGTGTGTATTTTAAGTTGGTTATTTATATTTGGTCTTGATATCAAATCTGCCTAAAATTAAGAATTTACAAGTTCACATTATGAATGACTGGATCAGAAACCAGAACCAACCAATTAGTATTTAAATATAGTTGTTATTCTGTGTACAACTCTAAATCCTGGTAGTTTCTCTTAAGTGTTCTTCTACACACACACACACACACACAGAGAGAGAGAGAGAGAGAGAGAGAGAGAGAGAGAGAGAGAGAGAGAGAGAGAGAGGTTGTATTGAATTAGTTCTTGTGTTGACATTAACTACATAAGGTTCAATAAAGCAGAAGAAATAGAAATATATATTTAAATTATTTGATAGGCTTGGAGATTCTATTAAAAATGGATATAACAAAAGCCTAAAAGTGGGTGGGTTTTCCTTTATTCCCATGGTTATATATATAGTGCATAGTAAATAAACTGTTTACTTTGGTCATGTTGATACCTCAACTCTTAGAGTGACTTAAATTCTATCAAATTTGAGTAAAATGTAAGTTTTTAGGCATTCTTCAAATATTCAAACTGGAATTATCACAGGGTATACATTTCTTCATCTCACTATCAAATATAGCTTACTGTTACAACGAATAGGAAATTTGAATATAAATATATTCGTTTGCTTTAAGAAAATGTTACTATTGATGATCTATATGAAAATGAACTTGCAGTTAGGAACTGGAAATGACTAAGGACTGTTTTCAGCATATTCCTAATGTATTTGAACTGACAGTGTCTAACTTATGTCACTGCTCTCTGTTTTAGGTGTGGAAATTTAAATAACGCAAGTACGTTGCCTGGAGCTTTGGTCAAGCAAATGCTGAGAAGGTATATTTATGTTATTAGGTATTTATTTTACATTGTTAATTAGAGAGTTTCAACCATTTCAATTCTTTAATCTGGGATCATTTGGTACTAGTCAGGTAACAGTGAATAACAGTGACCAGTTCTTTTTTTCTTACCTATTTTTCTTTTTCTTTTTTTTTTTTTTTTTGTTTTTGTTTTTGTTTTTTTCCGAGACAAGGTTTGTCAATGTATCCCTCCTGGCTGTCCTAGAATTCAGGCTAGCCTGGAACTCACAGAGGTCTGCCTGCCTCTGCCCACCCCAGTGTTGGGATTAAAGGCATTTGCTGTCACTTCCAGGCCAGATCAGTTCTGTCTTAAGACAGAATTGGGCTCAGTGTGGTAAGGCACACTTGTAATCCCAATACCTAGGAAATGTTACATTTTTAACTATTGCTAGTTTATTTGTAAAACATAAATTAGTAAGTAGTGGTGGCACACGCCTTTAATCCCAGCACTTGGGACATAGAGGCATGCAGATCTCAGTGAATTCCTGGACAGCCTGGTCTACAAAGTGAGTTCCAGAATAGCCAGGACTGTTATACAGAGAATCCCTGTCTTGAAAACAAAAATAATAATAAATAAAAATAAGCAGGCAAATATTTTATTTGTAAAAATAGGGAAGCAAAGGCTGACTGGTTGGTTATATATGGGAGACCAAAAGTTAAACTTTGAAAGAATATCTTATTTTAAGATGACTCTGTGCAAATCATTTACTCTGTGGTAAATAGTAAGAGTTTCTTTTGGTTCTGTTGCGGAAGGCTGGTTAATAGAGTTTTCTTAGAAAGTCCAGAGATACCAAGTTTTAATCAACCTCTGTGTCCCCAACTTTACCCACTACTCCATACATTGCACTAGCTACAGAAAACTATTCCTTGTTTTCCTGTAGGTGTCAAGGAATGCCAATGTGTGTTGGGCCAATGAACTCTGGTAGGTGAGGGGTTGAGAGCCATAGGTCTCAACCTTCCCGATAACTGCGACACGATACTTTAATACAGTTCTTCATGTTGTAGTGACTCCAGCCACAAAATTATTCTGTTGCTCCTTCATAGCTGTAATTTTGCTACTGTTATGAATCATAATAGAAATATGAGAATTGCTAGCTTAGAGAGAGGGTAGTTTTGTTCTTGTTGGCTGGCTAATTGGTTTGGTTGATTCATTTTGAGTTTTTTTCTTAATCTAGAAGCTATTTCTTTTTTTTTTACACATTTTATTATATATTTAAATTAGAAACAAGCTTGCTTCCCATGTCAATCCCAGCTCCCTCTTCCTCCCCTCCATGCCCACTCCACCCCACCAAACCCCCAGCCCCCCACCCAATCCCCACTCCATTGCCCAGGGAGGGTAAGGCCCTCAATGGGGGATCTCTAGAGTCTGTCATTTCCTTCTGGGGAGGGGCCAGTCCCTCCCCAAAGAGTCCAAATTGAGAAAGCATCCCTTATTGTGGGATGGGTCCCCAAAGTCCATTTGTGTGCCAGGGATAAATATTGATCTACTACCCAGAAACCCCATAGATTGCCTGAGTCTCCTCACTGACACCCACATTCAGGGGGTCTGGATCAGTCCCATGCTGGCCTCTCAGCCATCAGACTGGGGTCCAAGATCTCCCCCCTGTTCAGGTCAGCTGTTTCTCTGGGATTCACCAGCCCAGTCTTGACCCCTTTGCTCATCACTCCTCCCTCTCTCTCACTGGGTTCCAGGAGTTTAGTTCAGTGTTTAGCTGAGGGTGTCGGCCTCTGCTTCCGTCTGTCACTGGATGGAGGTTCTAGGATGGTATTTAAGACAGTCCTCAAAATCATTATTAGGGAGGGGCAATTAAAGTAGTCTCTCCACTACTGCTTAGTTTGCCAGTTGGTGTCATCCTTGTAGATCTCTGGAGTTCTCATTAGTGCCAGATCTCCCCTCAAACCTAAAATGGCTCCCTCTATTATGGTATCTCTCATCCTGCTCACCTCTATTCCCCCAACTCAACTTTCCTGCTCCCCCATGTCCCCCTCTCCCTTCCTCTTGTCTCCCTCTCTTTTTCCTGGCTCCCTTTCCCCTCCCTCACCCTTTACTCCCAATCTGCTCAGGAGATCTTGCCTCATTCCACCTTCTCTGGGGTTCCATGAATATCTCTCTTAAGGTCCTTTCTGTTTCTCTGCCTCTCTGGCAGTGGGATTGTAGACAGGCACTCCCATGATTCATGTCTAACATCCATATATGAGTGAGAACATACCATGTTTGTCTTTTTGTGGCTGGGTTACCTCACTCAGGATGGTTTCTTCTAGTGCCATCCATTTGCCTGCAAATTTCAGGATTCCATTGTTTTTTTTTTTTCTGCTGAATAGTACTCCATTGTGTAAATGTACCAGATTTTCTCTATCTACTCTTCAGTTGAGGGGCATCTAGGTTGCTTCCAGGTTCTGGCTATTACAAATAATGCTGCTATGAACATAGTGGAACAGATGTCTTTGTTGTATGAGTATGCATCTTTTGGGTATATGCCTGAGTGGAATTGCTGGGTCTTATGGTAGACTGAGTCCCATTTTCCTGAGGAATCTCCATACTGATTTTCATAGTGGCTGTACAACTTGAAACTCCCACCAGCAGTGGAGGAGTGTTCCCCTTTTTCCACATCCTCTCCAGCATAAACTGTCATTGGTGGTTTTATTTTAGCCCTTCTGACAGGAGTAAGATGGTATCTCAGAGTTGTTTTGATTTGCATTTCTCTGATTGCTAGGGATGTTGAGCACTTTCTTAAGTGTCTCTCAGCCATTTTAGTCTCCTCAATTGAGAATTCTCTGTTTAGTTTAGTCCCCCACTTTTTAATTGGATCCTTTGGTGTTTTGGAGACTTGCTTCTTGAGTTCTTTGTAAATTTTGGAGATCAGCCCTCTGTCAGATGTGGGATTGGTGAATATCTTTTCCCAATCTGTGGGGTGCCTTTTTGTCTTGCTGACTGTGTCCTTTGCCTTGCAGAAGCTTCTCAGCTTCAGCAGGTCCCATTTACTAATTGTCGATCTCAGTATCTGTGATACTGGTTTTATACTCAGGAAGTGATATCCTGTACCAATTCCTTCAAGGGTACCTCCCACTTTCTCTTCTAACAGGTTCAGTGTGACTGGATTGATGTTGAGGTCTTTCATCCATCTGGACTAAAGTTTTGTGCATGGTGATAGACATGGATCTATCCAGATTTAACTACAGGCCACCATCCAGTTATGCCAGCACCATTTGTTGAAGATGCCTTCTTTTTTCCATTGTATAATTTTAGTTTCTTTGTCAAAAACCAAGTGTTCACATGTGTGTGGGTTAATATCAGGGTTTTCTATTCAATTCCATTGGTCTATCTGTCTATTTTTGTGCCAATACCAAGCTGTTTTCAGGACTATAGCTCTATAATAGAGCTTGAAGTCAGGGATGGTGATGTCTCCGGACGTTGCTTTGTTGCACAGGGTGGTTTTGGCTATCCTGGGTCTTTTGTTTTTCCATACAAAAGTTGAGAATTGTTCTTTGAAGGTCTGTGAAGAATTGTGCTGGGATTTCAATGGGAATAGCATTGAATCTGTAGATTGCTTTTGGCAAGATTGCCATTTTTACTATGTTGAGCCTACCTACCCAAGTGCATGGGAGATCTTTCCATTTTCTGGTGTCTTCTTTAATTTCTTTCTTTAAAGACTCAAAGTTCGTATGATACAGGTCTTTCACTTGTTTGGTTAGCATTACCCCAAGGTATTTTATGTTGTGTGTGGCAATTGTAAAGAGTGATGTTTCTCTGATTCTTTCTCAGCCCTTTTATCGTCTGTATATAGTAGGGCTACTGATTTTCTTGAGTTGATCTTGTATCCTGCCACTTTGCTGAAGGTATTTATCAGCTGTAGGTTTTATTGTCAGCACCAGTAATTATATCACTGACCAAAGTCCCAGTGGATTATGTGAATTTTTTTGAACCTGAAATACAGTAGTGATGATGATGATAAACAAGGTGAACTGATACAAAGAATAAATTCTTGATTTCCTAAATTCTTGATATGGGAAAGTGGCTTTTATCTTATCCAATCATGATGTAGAATAGTAGAGATTCAAATATGAATTCCTTCCCATGTCATAACCATTTCTCTGTGTGTGTGTGTGTTTGAGACAGGGTCTCAAGTATCTCAGGATGACCTAAACTCACTCACTCTCTCTCTCTCTCTCTCTCTCTCTCTCTCTCTCTCTCTTCTCTCTCTCTCTCTCTCTCTCTCTCTCTCTGTGTGTGTGTGTGTGTGTGTGTGTGTCTTTCTCTCCCTCTCCTTCTCCCTCTGTCCCTCTCTCCTCCCCTCTTGCTGTCTTGCTCTCACTGAGGACAACCTTGAACTTGTGATCCTCCAGTCTCTACCACACAAGTGCTATGTTTGCAGGCATGTACTACCATGTTTAGTTATTCCTGATCCTCCACGCTGTCCTCACTCTTAAAGGAAATAAGATACAAAATGTTCTTTCATTATATCAGAATCTTAAGTGCCAAAAACTTTAATATAAACTAGAAGAGGTCTATAATTTGGCATCTTGTCTATGCTGTCATATATTGTCATGCATTATCATTTGGTAATTGTGCTCTGTTGAATTCGTCTGGAATTATTAACCAGATAGTCTGTAAAAAAGATTACAATATTAGTGCACCTAAGGTTAGAAGATAGGTGTTTGTTGCTCCTAGGTTTTGTTTGTTTGTTTTTCAACTTGACACCAGCTATAGTTATTTGGGAAGAGGAACCTTAATTGGGAAAATGCCTTCATTGGATTTCTTGTAGGCAAGTCTATAGGACAATTTTTTTGATGGTTGATGGGGGTGAGCCCATTCATATGGGGACAGGTAGTCCTGAGTGCTATGAGAAAGCATGCTGAAGCTGGGCAGTGGTGGCACACGCCTTTAATCCCATCACTTAGGAAGCAGAGGCAGGCAGATCTCTGTGAGTTTGAGGCCAACCTGGTCTATAGACCAAGTTCCAGGACAGGCTCCAAAGCTACACAGAGAAATTCTGCCTCAAAAAGCCAAAGAGAGGAAGGGAGGGAGGGAGGGAGGGAGAGAGGGAGAGAGAGAGAGGGGGGGGGGAGGGAGAGGGAGAGGGAGAGGGCAGAGAAATTCTGCCTCAAAAAGCCAAAGAGAGGAAGGGAGGGAGGGAGGGAGGGAGAGAGGGAGAGAGAGAGAGAGAGAGAGAGAGAGAGAGAGAGAGGGAGAGGGAGAGGGAGAGGGAGAGAGAGGGAGAGGGAGAGGGAGAGGGAGAGAGAGAGAGAGAGAGAGAGAGAGAGAGAGAGAGAGAGAGAGAGAGGAGCACGCGCGAGCAGGCTGAGACATAGGATACAATCCAGTAAGCAGCAGTCTGTGTCATCTGCCTCAGTTCCTGCCTTGAGTTCCTGCCCTGACTTCCCCAGTGATTGACATGCTATGAGAGTCATAAGCTGAAATGAACCCTTTCCTCCTCAGTTTGCTGTTGGTTGTGGTGTTTAGCATAGCAATAGTAAACCTAACTAATACCGTTTCCTCCAGGTTTCCATTATAAATAGGTAGTGCTGGGATTTATTTATTTATTTATTTAATTTGAAGGGGGGTTTCAAGACAGGGTTTCTCTGTATTGTTTTGGAGGCTGTCCTGGAACTCCCAGAGATCAGCCTGCCTCTGCCTCCCACGTGCTGGGATTAAAAGGCGTGCGCCACCAACGCCTGGCCTGGTAGTGCTGTTTTAAAATGTTAAATGTGCCTGTAATTTAGGTACTCTCTTTATTTTCACGTTCATTCAGTCCTTCATTGTGCTGGAGGGCATTAGTGTGCGGCAAAATGTATCTGGATGTCAGAAAACGACTTGTGCCAGTCGGTGGTGGCACATGCCTTTAATCCCAGCAGAGGCAGGCAGATCTCTGAGTTTGAAGCCAGAAGGGTCTACAAGAGCGAGTTCCAAGATGCCTTGGACTCCACAGAGAAACCCTATCTCAACAAAAAAAAGAAAATGACTTGCAGGAGTCATTTCTCTCCTTCCTACTACATGGGTTCTGGGGACCCAGCTCAGAGTGTCGGGCATGTGGGCAAGGACCCTTACCCACTGAAACATAGTAATAGCTCCCATCTGACTGAGAAGTGCCCCAATACCTCAAAGATAACTATGAGTAACCAAAGGATTTAGTCACTCGACTAAGACAGTTCTTTTTTATTTTCTTCAATGGTGTTACTTATGTGTATCCTTGGCTAGCCTGCTGGAGCTCTCTATGTAGACCAGACTAGCCTAGAACTCTTAACAGAGCCAAGCATGACCCCAAACTCTTGAGTTCCCTGCCCTGCTTTCCAAGTGGTGAGATTACAGATGTGTACCATGAACCTAGTTTATGTGATAGTAGATCAAACCCAAGACTTCATGCATACTTGGCAAACACTACCAACTGAGCTTTGCCCCCACCCAAGTTCATAAACTATGCCATCTTGAAGATATCCTTGGGTTTAGTTACTAGGGTCTTAGCTTGTTTTAAGTATTTTCTTTGAATACAGCACTGTGTAAATTGTTCTACAAATTCCTGATTATTTCTTTAGGAATGTGATAGAAAATGAGGCTGGTTAGACAGTTTACATGTTTTTAAAGTATGGTGATAGATAAATACTAGCACTGCTATATTAAGATAATAATTGTTCAAACAAAAAAGATAACTTTATATTAACATTCTGCCTATAAGCCATGCATGGTGGGGTGTACCTGTAGTCATAGCTTCCAGGAGGCTGAGGCAGGAGGAGTTCCAGACCATCGTGGACTATATAGTAGAGACTTTGTTTCAGACAAATGAAAATAACAGCTAAAAGATGAAGTTCGGTTCTGTATGGTTTCTTACCTCTGCCTTCAGGAGACAATGGAAACTGTTGGCCAGGAGGGGGACATTATAACCGTTTGGGCTGAGAACTGTTCTAATCCTGCAATTGCAAGATTTTTTTAAATCAGTTTTTATTAAAGTAAAATAGTATATGTTGTAGACTATATTAATCATGTGGCTTTGTTATGTTTACATAAAGATGAAATTGTCTAATTATTTTTATTTTTCTTTAGCCACATAAAGAAGATCCCTGGCAGCCATTTCTCAACAATTATATAGTCAACTGATGTAACAATGGTACTAATATTGGGACGCAGACTAAACAGAGAGGATCTTGGGGTGCGTGATTCCCCAGCAACTAAGCGTAAAGTTTTTGAAATGGACCCCAAATCTCTGACAGGTCATGAGTATTTTGACTTCTCTTCAGGATCATCCCATGCTGAAAACATACTCCAGATATTTAATGAGTTCCGAGACAGCCGCTTATTCACAGATGTCATCATCTGTGTGGAAGGAAAGGAGTTTCCTTGTCATCGAGCTGTCCTCTCAGCGTGTAGCAGCTACTTCAGAGCCATGTTCTGTAACGACCACAGGGAGAGCCGAGAAATGCTGGTTGAGATCAATGGCATTTTAGCTGAAGCTATGGAATGTTTTTTGCAGTATGTGTATACTGGAAAGGTGAAGATCACGACAGAGAATGTCCAGTACCTCTTCGAGACCTCCAGCCTCTTTCAGATCAGTGTTCTCCGTGATGCGTGCGCCAAGTTCTTAGAGGAACAGCTTGACCCTTGCAATTGTCTAGGAATCCAGCGTTTCGCTGACACCCACTCACTCAAAACACTCTTCACAAAATGCAAGACCTTTGCCTTACAGACTTTTGAGGATGTGTCCCAGCATGAAGAATTTCTTGAGCTTGACAAAGATGAACTTATTGATTATATCTGCAGTGATGAACTTGTTATTGGGAAAGAGGAGATGGTGTTCGAGGCGGTCATGCGCTGGGTCTACCGAGCTGTTGATCTGCGTAGGCCACTGTTGCATGAGCTCCTGACACACGTCAGGCTCCCTCTTTTGCATCCCAACTACTTTGTTCAGACTGTTGAGGTGGACCAGTTGATCCAGAATTCCCCCGAGTGTTATCAGTTGCTGCATGAAGCAAGACGGTACCACATACTTGGCAATGAAATGATGTCCCCTAGGACTAGACCACGCAGGTGAGAAGACGCTGGCCAGATATAGCTAACAAAAGTTTTGGTTTTAAAAATCTATCTTAAACTTCTCAGCCCATTTAAATGTTTAGTTTATGTGAGTCTTAGGCAGTTGAAGGTCTGCTTGGAGGCTTGGAGCCATAGCTTAGTTTGTAGGGTACTTACCTACATGACTTGGTGTGGAAGCACACACCTGTAGTCAGTACACAGAGACCGGTGGATCCAGAGTTAAGGTTATCTTTCAGGTATGTATGTAAAACCTACTTTCAGATCTGTGCTTCATGGCAGTCTCAACTTTCAGTGATTTTTTTTTCTTTTTGGTTTTTTTTTTGTTTTTTTTTTGTTTTTGTTTTTGTTTTTTTTGAGAGCACACATTATGGAGCCCAGGCTGGACTTAGACTCTCTTTGTAGGCTGACATTGAACTCCTGATCCTCCTACTTCTGTCTCCAAGTGCTAGGATTACTGGCATATGCCCCATGCCCAGCTCAGGCACTTTGTCTGAATTTGAAAATTGCATCCACATTAAAGAATAATTAGTAAGCTTATGTTTGGAGTGAAGTGTGACCCTTAGTATTATACGTATTATTTTTATAGATGCCTATAGACTTAAGTCCTCTTGCCTGCACAGCAAGTGCTCTTACCCACTAAGCCATCTCCCTGACCCTGTTTTCTAGAACTTTTAAGGAAACCAGCTTATTTCTTACAGTGAAAAATATATGTCATTTGCAGTATCAACCCGTTTGGAAACTAGCATGAAGAACTAAAGTAGAACTCCGCTACATTTGAGGCTGTTGTTGATACAGTAGCGGGTGCTTTTCCTGCATAGGCATTCCTTGATCCTTGATGCTTTCCTTACAAGTCTGCTATCAACCCCTGGTCTTGCCTGTTACTGTATTGTTTCATTAATTACTAGAAACTGTCCAAACATGACATATTATTTGTATAGATTTTTATCCTTTCCATTCTCCACTATTTAACTCCAGTCCCCTCCTATGACTTCAGCTTCTGTCTTCAGTCATGACTGCAACTCCTCTAATGGAGTCATGGGCGACCTTGTTTTGTCTGTTAGTCTCCTTTCAGTCTGGAGCCAGGGTGTGTTTCTCCAGGATGTTGTGTTGATTCTGGTGCTGGGGACAGAGTTCATGGCCTTGTAGTGCTCCTACCACTGAGCCACACCCTCAGACCTGGGAGCTAACGTTAAGTTAACTGTCATATCTGCCTACACCTCCGTCAGCTTCTGAACACCACTGGCCTCCTGAGCTGCCTGTTCGGCAGTTCTTTCCAGTTGCTGGTCCTGACTCCTGCGTCCGCTCTGTAGTGTTACCTGGTCAGTTCGCATCCTTTGTCTGCCTCACATACTTTTCCTGGGTGACTTCATCTCATCATGCCCTGAGCTGCATACTGCCAGCTCTGACCCTGAGTCCTTAGCATGTATTCTCTCACTTATTCGTTCATATTTCTTTTAAATTTTGAATAATTTTTACCTAACTCCTTTTTACATGATTTACATAATTTATATACATATTTATTACTTGATTGTGTGTATCTTTTAGAATAGCATAAGCAAAATAACTTTCACAATTAAAGGTAATAATTCATATTGGCTAAAATCCAATCCATATTTAAATTGTCTTTTAATATATCTGGATTCAGAATCTCCCATTATACCTGGTTATATATAAGAAGTCTCTTTTATTCCAAAACTGCTTTTTCACGTTTCTGACTTGATAGAAAACTTTCTATAGCCCACCTTCTAGATTCTTCTAGCTACTTTGTTATGACCTCCTTTAGATGTATTTAGTTACATATACTTCCTAGAAAGTGCTAACTGCAGACTCCCTTGGTTAAGTACTGAGCTGAACTCAAGAAAGCCAGTAACAGAGAGGGAGGACTGATGATCAAAGGGATTAAGTCTGGGTTGGTTTAACCCCCAGAAACAGGTGACCAGACAAAGGTTAACTCTTGAATCCCAGGCATCAGCCTGGGAATCCAGCATGGGACTGATCAAGACCCCCCTGAATCTGGGTGTCAGTGAGGAGGCCTAGGTAATCTATTGAGCCTTGGGCAGCAGATCAGTACCCATCCCAAGTATACACACGGACTTTGGACTCCCATCCAACAATGTGAGGTGCACTCTCACCCTGAACTCTTGGGGAAGGGTCTAGGCCCTGCCCTATATGAAATGACAGACTATGCACACCCCCATGGAGGGCCTCACCCTCCCTGGGGAAATGAGGGGATAACGGGGGGGGGGGGGGGTTGGGGGGAGGGCATGGGAGGAAGGGAGGGAATGGGAGAGGGACCTGGAACTGACTTGTGAAGCTACCTAGTTTCTTATCTAAATTTAAACTGGAAAATAAAATTAAAAAAAAAAAAAAGAAAGTGCTAACTGACTCTACACACTTCAGCTTGATAGATGAATATTTGGGGCTAGAATTCATCCTGTTATTTGTGTACATTACATTGCTTATTAAAAGGGCCTCATACATATTATCATGTCATCTTCCCAGCTCTCATTCCACAATAATAATAGGAAACTCTTAGTCCTAGGAACTGCTTTGTGTACCATAACACATATTAATTCATTTAAGTTTCAGAATAGCCATGAGTTAGTATTAATAAACACATTTTACAGATCCCAAACTCAGATTGAGAGAAGTAACTTGTTCACAGTTTAGTCAGTGACTTCTACTAGTACACATACTGCCTCCTTGGTGACATTTAAATTTGAGTATTTCCAAGATATTTTATAAAAACGAGACTGTAAGACTTTATTGAATACTCTTGTTTGTTTTTGAGACAAGGTCTCATATATCCCAGGCTGGTCTCCAACCCTCTAACATGGCTGAGGATGACCTTGAACTGCTGACCACGCTTTCGGTTACTCGGTACTGGGATTTAGACCTGGGCCACCATACAGGCTGTTTCTGTTGCTTTCATTCAGTGCCCCATAGCATTCCTAGTTTCCTCTTTTCCCTAAGTACTTGATGCAGATAGGAAACCAATGTGAAAGGTTGTTTGGTGGTTGTTGTTGTTGTTGTTTACATTGCTGCATTATGGGGATTGAACCTCTGAGCTACTTCTCCAGCCCCTCCAGGAGGCAAATTTAATATTAGTGCAGAAAACATATTAACACCTGCATGAGGATGCACACCTGTAATCCTGTTCTCAGGTGGCTGAGGCAGGAGGATTGCTTTGAGTTTGAGACCAGCCTGAGCTATATAAATGAATACCAGGCCAGCAAGGGGTGCACAGTGAGACCTGTGTGAGACACAAAGGGAAAGGGGTGGGGAACTATGCTAGTTGGTTATTGCATTTTTTTTTTTCTTTTTGTGTAAGCCATGGTGTATGTGTGGAGTAACTTCTCTCCTTCTGCCATGCAGGTCCCAGGGGTCAAACTCGGGTCATCAAGCTCTGTGACAGTCACCTTTACTCTCTGAACCTTGTTGACAGCCTTGAAATACTTTTTTTCCCCTAGCTTTGTTTTTGTTTTCTGAGACGTAGTCTCTTGTAATCTCTGGTTTTAAACTTGCTATAAAGCCTGAGCTGGCCTTGAACTCCTGCTTCTCCCATTTCGGCTGTCCTGTACCACGCACGCTATACCCTGAATGAAGATACCTTTGGAACTAGTCATCAACTTGAACAATTCAGGCCTCAACTAGTAAATATGTGTCATCCTTGTATGCTAAGTGCTGCCTCAAAGCCTTTCTTTCACCTGGAGAAAAGTGACGTCTCTGAGGCGGGCCTCTGCCACAACTTTGTCTCAGTCCATAAAGTTGCTGGTCCTGCCATAGCATAGCATAGCATAGCATAGCATAGCATAGCATAGCATAGCATAGCATAGCATAGCATAGCATATCCCTGACCTCTTTTTTGCAGTCTAATTGGAACCTCCATTGCACTTCATTTTGATGTCTTTTTAAAGTATCTGTGTGCATGTGTGTGTTAACGTGGGGGAACATTGACATACTTGTGGAGGTCAGAGAACAATTGTGTGAGTTAATTCTCTCCTTCCACATTCATGGGAGTTCCAAAGTTCAAGCTCAGGTTGTCAGGCTGTATATGGCAAGTGGTTCACCCACTGAGCCATCTCAACAGCCTCCAGTTCAATTTCTTATTCTAGCCCAATTCCTGATTTCTGTTACCCCCCTCCCATTTTTCAAGATTGTTTCTCTCTGTGGTCTTGTCTGTCCTAGAACTCTCTCTGTAGACCAAGCTGTCCTTGAACTCACAGTTCTACCTTTCTCTATCTCCTGAGTGCTGGGACTAAAGGGGTGCACCATCACTCCCTGCCCTATAAATAGCAGACATTTAAACTACTGACTGTTGGGGCGTTTGGGTGTGATGTTTTCGTGGATCTCCAGTTTGGATTGTACCTACCACAGTGATTACCTTCAACTTCCCCTGGTGGTGCTGATTCTCTGTTTTGATAGCACTAGGCTGCTGCAAAATGGGGTTCCTGAGTAGCAGCATGGATAACGTTGAACTGGACAAGTGTTTGCTAATGTGATAGCCATATGTAGCAAATTGCTCATATTAGGGTCGGGGGTGAGCAGTCGGAATAGTTAAGACTTTGCACATTAATTATTTTGAGGTTACACTCAGCAGTTAATTATACACTTGAATCTGACTTCTAATATTTATGTATGCTCATTTTTATGGGAGTAAGTACAGATAGGGGTCGTGGGAGGAGAACAGGAGGTTTTAAGTAAGGGAGGGGGTTGGGAAGAGTAGCAGAGGACTTGAAAATAGAAGGGGGCTTCTGGGGAAGGAGCGGGGGGGGGGGGACCAAACAAAGCAAACCGGCTGCTCTGTATGCTGAGTTATTTCTTGTACACGGGTGATTTGCTGCATGCACGTCTAGATGCAGTTCCCTCAGAGGACAGAGGAGGGCACAAGATCCTCCCTAGCATTAGACAGTTGTGCTGGGAATCGAACCCAGGTCCTCTAGAGGAACAGCAAGTACTCTTAGCTGCTGAGCCATCTCTCTAGCCCCTAATTTTTAACTATGTTTATTTCATGTGTATGAGTGTTTTGTCTGCATTTGTGTATACCTGTTGCCTGCAGAGGTCAGAAGAGGGCACTGGATCCCCTAGAACTGGAGTCACAGATGGTTGTGAGCTGACATATGGGCTCTGGAACCAAACTCTGAGTTCCCTGGAAGAACAGCTGTTGATCTTAGCCAGTGGGCCCTCTCCAGCCCCTTTATTTTTGTACAGAAAATCATAGTTGTTTCTGCTAATATTCCCTATCCACATATTTTGTTAATGAGACAGGATCACATTGTATAGCACAGGTTATCCTTGAACTCTTAAAGACCTACCCAATTCTGCCTCACTTCCTCTTTTCCTTTCAATCCATTGAACCTCTAATGTATCAGAATTCTTGTTGCAAGTTATAGAAACTAGCTCATCAACTCAAGTACAAAAGAGAAATGTGGTAACACGATACACGAATCTGCATCTTGTAGAACCTGAAAAGCAAAAAAGTGGACAGTTCATTAAGACAGACAGACGGACAGGGAGGGAAGAAGGAAGGAAGGAAAGAAAGAAGGAAGACCAAATCTGAAAAGCCCTCAGAAACCAAGCACTGCCTTCACCCCACTTCCTGCTCTTCTCTGCATGGCTGTTTTGTTTGCTGTTATTATTTTCAGTGAATGTGCTCTTACTGCTTTCGGTGAACATGGCCTCTCAACTGTTGGAGGATATTTGATCACACTGTGAACCTGAGATTTCATTGTTTACTGGAGGAACCTGCTTCTAGCTGTGGTGTGACTCAGTCCTAGCACACACCTTTAATCCAAGAGTTTTTTCCTTGAATACTGTAAACAGGATTAAATAAAATCTTCCATAGGACAAGATGCCGTAAGTGAAAGCTCTTTCTTGGACACTGGTTGAAGAGGAAGCAGCTGGATGCTTTCTCAGCCTCTCTGAGCTTGCGGATTTTCACCCCAGCATCTGCTCCCGAGTCTTTATTGGTAAAATAGAATGATAGTGACTTAGATAAAAATAACAACTCAAGGATTTGCATTTGTATATTGAGTGACTCAGATTGAACTTCTACTTCAGCCAGACATGGGACAACATTATGGCCACCTCAGAGTAGAATCGCTAAGCTAAAAGGTGTTAACTTAAAATATCACCCCATGATAGGCTAGTGAAACAACCAGTGATGGTCATTAATGGCAAGGCGATGTAGATGTCCCTTTGAGCTCCACAGAGAAACAAGCACAAAGGGCAAGAAGGGCATAACTAGCCAGGCTGGATCAAGGAGTCTCACCCTAAGCAATTTATTTTTGACATATTTAGGCACAGTACAACTTTGGGAAAAAGTTCCCATGTGACAGTTATCACAACAAAGCTTATGGCATGACTGCGTCACTCCTTTGCAAAGTACATTTCTTTTGCAAAGTACTGTGAACTCTTCCACAAGACTGTGTTCTGTTGAGTGACAATGCTCAGGATAAGAGTCCAGGAAGGAAGGGTTTGTAATAAGCATAATAGTAAACTCTTCTGCAGAGTACATGAAACCTCTTTCTTAAGAATGGGTTCTGTTAGCCCAGAGTGGGTGATGCACTTGAGAGGCAGAGGCAAGAGGATCTCTGTGAGTTCAAGGGCAGCCTGGTCTACAGAGCAAGTTGCAGGACAGCCAGGCTACACAAAGAAACCCTGTCTTGGGACACACCCCCAAAAAAGAAGAGGAATAGGTTCTAGTGTTTGAGAAACCATGCTTGGGAGTCTGGAAGATTCTGGTGAAGCCTGGCTCTACAGAATAGTAATACACCAAGTTATAAAGAATATCCATTCAACCTTTTGGGTAGAAAACAGGTATGTACATACCTTTCACTGAAAAGAAAAGCCTGTGTGTGTGACAGTCCTGTTTTTCTAATGCTCATCTGAGCATGTGTGCCCCCTACAGAATGTCATTTTTTTTCTTTATTTTTCTTAAACTGGGATAGGTTAGGGAGTGGATGGAGTACTTATAACCAATTGGAAAAACTTAGGAAAGAAAAAAAAAGCCATATTTTTACCAGGACTCCTAGGGAATAACACTCTTGAATAAAGCATTTTGCTTTCTTCTGTTTTTATTATTATTGGGGGGGAATAACTAGAGAGAGAACCCTGGACCTCACATATGCTGTTACCTCTGCCACTAAGTTACTTATAAGCCCTATTGTCTTGCTGTTTTTGTTATTGTTTGACAATTGCATATATGTACATCATGTGTTATGATACTAATCCATTGCCTGCTCTTACCCTCTCTTATTTCTGCTGACCCCCTTCCTAGCTAGCCCCTCTACTTTCATGTTGGGGTGGGGTAGTATTTACTGGCATTGGACAACTTCCAGCACTATACTACAGAAGAAAATGACTTTCCTTCCCCTGACAATCATTAACTGCCAATAGCAGTCAGGAAAGGAGGGAGCCTCTCCATCCCCACCTCCTCCATGATGGAATGTTGAAGGGTAACCACAGCTACCATGTGTTCATTATTGTTACAGCCATGACGTGTCCACAAAACAGTGTTGCGTAGCACTCTTTCCCATCCTACAGCTCTTAATTCTTTCCTTGTGAATGTTCTCTGAGCCTTGAAAGTGAGTGACAATTGTCTCACTAAGGGTACTGCACTTACTTGTTCCCAGCACTTAAACCAGATGGGAAGCCCTGTGTTAACCACCACCCACTGCAGAATGCTTCCTTGATCAAGGCTAAGAGCAGCACTTTGGGTATAAACATAAATAACTTACTAGGCAGTTTGGCTTGTGTTTTTGAAGCAATGTGAGCCTCCTGCCTCTGCCTCCTGAGTGCTGGGACTAGAAGCATATGACAACACACCCAGACCCCATACACATTTAAGCTATCACTGAACAACAACTCCTCCTCCTACCCCCCCACCTTCGGTTTCTCAAGGGTTTCTCTGTGTAGCCCTAGCTATCCTGGAACTCACTTTGTAGACCAGGCTGGCCTCAAACTTAAGAAATTCACCTTCCTCTGCCTTCCGAGTGCTGGAATTAAAAGTTGTGTACCACCATGGTCTGACTAAACTTGTTAACTTTAAATAACATGAACATCATGTTAGTTCCCGTGATAAACTTTTATGTGATTGCTACTTTTAAAAGGAAACATTTTGATTCTGCATCACTACATCTGTTCCTTATAAAAATCGCATTCCTGGTGCGATTCCCGGCGGAAGACCCTGGCACGCAGACTGATTAACTCCCTTATCTTCTAGTCTATGGCTGAGACCAGAGGGCCACAATCACAAGGATTCAAGTCTAGCCTTAGCAGCGATAGTGAGTTCCTGTTTCAAAACAACCAATAAGGGTCAACATTTAGGTCAGTAGCCAAATGCTTGCCCAGAATGCACAAGGGTCTGTGTACAAAGCCAGTACCCCACAAAGAGAAGAGAGAGGAGAGCCAGCAAGCAGGTTAGTTGTTGAGGCCACCTGTGCAGCATGTTCTGTCAGGTCACTCACTCACTACAGGAAGTCAGTAGAGCTAGTACTTGAGAAACTCACTCAACCTAAACATTTTCTTACCAAAAAACTATTGATGTTCAAGTCAATACTGCTTAAACAATAACTTGAATGGGTGCTGCAGATATTTACTTGTGTAATTATGATTTATTCTTCCACTCGTTTCTTCATTTACTTATTCTAGGGCTGGCCAGTCCTGTCTTTAGATAACACAATAAATTGATGATATCAAATCTTACAGACCCTAGAACTGTTCTGTCTCTGTAAGGCTAAAGTCACATACCTCCATTTTTATCAGATGCATGTGTGCCTGGGTGTTGGAATGGATTAACTTACAGATATTTTTGAATTTTGTTTTGGCTCATATATTCCTAGCTGGATGACATGAGAACCTCGCACATAAAATAACTTATTTCTGAAGAAATACTCTTAAATACATACACTACAGATTAATTTTAGAATTAGCAACAATGAAAAGTGGTAGAGTTCTTGGAAACCCAATGACCTGGTTTCAGACCCTAGTACTGTAACAAAACAGAAAGCTTCAGAGGTCAAAACCCAGAAAGCTAGTGCTAGTGTGGTGTCCCTTGTCTTTCTCTCAGCGCCCAGGAGGCAGAGACTTGCAGGTCTGTTCCAGGCCAGCCTGGGCTACATATTGAGATTCTGTCTCCAAAAGTTTAATGGCGGGGCAGGCTAGAGAGACGAGTCATCCGTTAAGAGCACTCGATGCTCTTGCAAAGGACCTGGGTTTGGTTCCCAGCACCCACATGGTGACCCACAGCCATCCCTAACTCTAGCTACAAGGTTTCCAATACCAGTGCTATCTTCTGACACAAGCAAATACATTCAGGAAAGCATATGTAAACTTAAGAAAGAATTTGAAAAATATCCTCACAGATATTTTCTGTGGAATAGTGATGTCACTAATAATGTTCTCAAATAACTGCCAGCCTATACTGTTTGGCACATCTGTAAGAATAAAATGCCTGTCATGGTGTGTTGTTTGTTGTTAGGGCTTTGAACTACCTTGGGTGTATTTTAATGTATTACAACTATTTTTGCATTCTTAACAATAATTATTTTAGGTCTACTGGCTATTCAGAGGTGATAGTTGTGGTTGGAGGCTGTGAACGAGTTGGAGGATTTAATCTCCCATACACTGAGTGCTATGATCCAGTAACAGGAGAATGGAAGTCCTTGGCCAAGCTTCCAGAATTTACCAAATCAGAGTATGCCGTCTGTGCACTAAGGAATGATATTCTTGTTTCAGGTAAATAAAGAACTACTACATTACTACAGTAGCTACTATTTTTGATTTGGATACAGATTGACTTTTTAAAAGTTACTTATGTATGGGTGCTCCATCTGCATGTATGCCTTTATGCCATCAGATCCCACTAGCAATGGTTGTGAGCTGCCACCATGTGGTTGCTGGGAATTGAACTCAGGACCTGTGGAAGAGCAGTCAGTTCTCTTAAACTCTGAGCCATCTCTCTGCCCCCAGATTGACTGTTTAAAAATGGATAGTTTATACAATACTGAAAAGACCAATTTTGCCCTTGAAAACCAGAATCATTTGCAAAAGATCTTCCAGAAAATGCTTTTGGTCATGATATTTTAAATGCTTTTGCTTATGCTTAGAGTCTATGTGTCTTAACTGTGTGCATGTGTATAAGCATAAGTTTTCTGGCCCAGTAGGTCCCATGGCCCTTGAGCCTCAAATGAACACACAGACGCTATATTAATTATGAAACTGTTGGCTGATGACTAGGGCTTCTTACTGGCTAGCTCTGTCTTGATTATTAACCCATTTCTATCAATCTAATGTATTGCCACGAGGCGGTGGCTTACCCGGCAATGCCTGGCATAGCGTTACTCTTCCTGCAGCATCGTGACTGTCCAGTGGCTCACTCTGCATACCTTTCCCAGAATCCTCCTCCTCTCCTAGCCCTGCCTATCTTTCTGCCTGGCCAATCAGTGTTTTATTCATCAATCAATGAGGGAAACATATGTACAGAAGACATCCCCATCTGTCTTTGTGTGTGGGTGTATGTATGTGTGTGTGTTTTTGCACGCACGCACTGTGTGTGCATGTGTGCGTGCATGCGTGAGAGCATAGAAGTGCCTGCAAAGACTGAAGGAGGTAGTCAGATTTGGAGCTGAAGTCCTAGGCAGGTGTAAGCTCCATGGCTGTACTAGGAGCACTCTGACCAGGGAGCTAGCTCTCCAGCTGGAAACTGTAAAGTCAGAAGTACTCATACAACTAAACAGGTTTAATTTGCCTGTTTTCTAAAATTCCCTCCCAAAGTTTATCAGTTGAAATTTTTCTATAAAGCTCTTAAGTTGAACATATTTACTGTACATGATGTCCTAAAAAGTCAGACTAAATGACAGGTTTTCAAAAAGTATATCTAGTCTATGCTTTGAAGCCTGTTGATTGACAAATAGTGTAATTAGCCTTGCAGATTATTGTTTTACTACTCAGTGACTGACACTACAACATACACCTGATTTTGTATGGCTTTTAAAACGTCTTTAGAACAGTCCTGCTGTTTGTAGTTATCTGGTGGTTGATTGGTAAAACTCACTGTATTTTATTCTTGTGGAGCTTATGGTTGTTATTTCTCAAGATAACAACTGGCAGAATTTAAACCTGCTCTGTGTAACTATTTCCACTAAGCTAGAGAAGGTTCCTCTATTATTTGTTGAACTAGTTCTGAACTCAGATTGAATGGGTAAATTCTGCTGTGTTTCCCTGTATGCTAATGGCATTGATCTGTTGGTCCTGTTTAGTGACGTTGCTGACTGTGCACTGTTTTCCATTTGAAGGTGGAAGAATCAACAGCCGTGACGTCTGGATTTATAACTCACAGCTAAATATCTGGATCAGAGTTGCTTCTCTAAATAAAGGCAGATGGCGCCACAAAATGGCTGTCCTTCTTGGTAAAGTAAGAGAAACAGCTTTTTATTACTACTTCTGGTCCATGTCCAAAAGAAATGCATCTTGCATTTCCCTCTGGGTATTTTGACTTCAAGTGGTATTTCCTTCCATTCCTAACCAAGATAAACTAAAGACGTAAACAATATGACACTGTACGTCTTGAATAGATATTTTGTTCTCCTGATTTTGTATTTGTGGCAGTACAGCACATTTCTCACACATTGGAATCCAAATGCTTAAGAACTAGAAAGGCATTAATTATATCTGATACAAAACCAGGCCAGTGTCTAGTCCACACAACTTTTTCCCTTTTACTGACTTTGACAGTCAGGTAGAAAAATGTTTAAGTGGTATTACTTAGCCTTCTTTATTTGTACAAGAGGGGATAAAACTAAGATAAACACTCTAACGTGTGTGTGTATTCCGCACGCCTAAATTTCCAGGTAAACACATGTGACACTTGGAGACCAAGGGAAGATGTCAAATGCCCTGCTCTATAACTTCACTTTATTCTTTTGAGGCTGGGTGCCAGCCAGCAAGCCCCATCCCCCACAGCACTGCTGTTACAGGACAGTGTCTTGTTTTTCATGTGGGTGTTGGGGATTTGAACTCGGATCCCTATGCTTTCACAGCAAGCCCCCTTACTTGCTGAGCCACTTCCTCAGTCCCTTCACCAGCATGTTTCACAGGAAATCTGTTATAGACTACAGCTAACAAGCGTATTAAAGTAGATACTACTGGATGCCAAACAAGATGCTCCATCTGTAATCCTGGCTCTCGGGGGCTCAGGGGCTCAAGGCAGGAGTGTCACAAGTGACAGGCCAAGCTGGGTTACACAGTAATACTGTCTAAAACTAAAAATTCACAATTTGGGTTCTGAACCATCAACTACCATTATTTAATCTGAACCTGGTCTGTGAGCTAGTGATTTGGATTTTTTTTTTTGAGGTAGACTCACTATGTAGCTAGCCCTGACAGGTCTGGAACTCACCAAAATCTGCCTGCCCCTGCCCCTACCCCTACCCTTGCCCCTGCCCCTGCCTCGAGTGCTAGGATTAAAGGTGTGCACCACGCTGCACAGCTGGCTTTTGGGCTCTTGAAGCTCTCCACTTGCTTTTTAACATTGACCAGGGAGAGACGCACCACGTGTGCTCCTGAGGGACTTGGAACTGTTAGCCATTCCCCAATGATCTTCATCACTTTGTCCAAAACACCTCAAATTAAGTGAAGTGAGTCTTCCCTGGCCTGTAGACCCCATTTCTGAGAAAATGTGGTGTCTTGGGCTTTACTAGGACACATTTCAGAGCCACCAATGGAAACCAGAACTTAGTTAAACCAGAGGTGGCTTCCCTGACGGCTTCCCTTCTCAGCCTCTCCTTCAACTTTTTCCCACAGAGGCATTTAAACCTTCATATTATGGAACACTGAAGCTCCTTGGACAATGTCAAGGCTATTTCTTAGCTGAACACAGTGATACACACCTGTAATCACAGTGCTTGCAAGGCAGAGGTAGAGAATATCAAAAGTTAAACCAGCCTGGACTATAAGCAAATTTGGACTATACCTCTCAAAAAAAAGTAGAGAGGAACATGGGAATCCTAAGCCCAGTGTATATTATACACTTATATAAAAATATCCTTATATACAATGAATCACAAGCAAAAATTTCGTATCATTAAAGGAATTAAAAATATTTGTAAATGAAAAGTCAACATCTTGTTTGAGATATACATATGTGATTGCCACGTGTGTGCAGGTGCCTGTGGAGGGCAGAAGAGGGGGTCATCAAATGCCCTGGAATTGGAGTTACTAGCAGTTGTATCCACCAGGCCTCTGTATGAGTACAAAGTGCTTGTAACTCAATAGCTGTCTGTCCAGTCCCTGCCTTTGGCAACAGATCTCGTGAAGCATAGGCTGACTTCCAACTCTGTACCTGAGGATGACTTTGAACTCTGGCTCTCCTTCCACCACCTCTAAAGTACTGGAATTGCAGTCACATACCCCCACTCCAGTATCGTTTAAAAGAAACAGTAATTTCCACTCAGTGTAGATAAAGCATTCACCACACAAGTTTGAGGATCAGAGTTCAAATCCAAAGAAGCTACATAAAATCAGGAGCAGTAGCACACATGTAATCTCAGTTCTCCTATAGCAAACTAGGTGGTAAAGACCAAAGAATTCCTGGAAGCTCCTGGGCAACTAGTCTGGCATACACAGTGGAAGACACTCCTACCTAAAAAGGTAGAGTGCTCGACTTGCACTCAAAGTTGACCTCTGACCTATACCAACACATGAGATACAGCAGTGGAAAGAGATCAACTGCAGAAAGTTGTCCTGTCACTTCTACACAAACACAAGACACATAACAATAATTTTCTTTCTAATGGCAAAGCAGGCCAGCAAAATGGCTCATTGTGTACCAGCACTTGTGGCCACATCTGACACTGAGTTTTCTCTTGGAGATGCATGCCATGGAAGGAGGACACCTACTCTCAAAAGTTGTCCTTTGACTTCCACACATAACACAGTGGAACTCATGTGCACACAGCAAATTTTTAAAAATGCAAAGTGCTAAAATAAGGGATTACAAATGAAGTATAACAAATTTAAATAATTTGTAATTATTTAAGCTGTAAATAAAAAGGATAGCTGTCTCAGGATCCATTATATGTTAGTGAATTCTTAATTTATTTGACAAATGTTAGTATATTTGATGTGGTGGTAATCAAAGCAAGCTGGACATGGCACTTGAGAAGCAGGACTGTCTCATTGAATGAGTAGATAGATAGACAGACAGACAGATAGACAAACATGGTAACACACATTTGCTCTGCTGTCTTCACCTGAGGGCAGGGGCATGAAGAGTGAGAGCAGCTGAGCTGTCTGAAATCCTATCTCAAACAACAAAAACAGTTCAAAGCTTAGAAGGACTTTATGTAAAAATAGCTTTTCATCGTTTAGACAACAAGTACACAACTCATGGGAACTATTATTCTGGAAATTAGAATGGGGCTAAATTCAGACCTCCTGTGAGATTATTGACCTTTATAAATCCGTTTATAGGAGCTAGAGAGGTAGCTCAGCAGTCAGAAGCACTGGCTGCTTTGTAGAGGGCCCCTGGATTCAGTTCCCAGCAGCACACGATTGTAACTTCAGTTCCAGAGGATGCAGTGGCCCTTCTGGACGGCAAGTACACATATGATGACGAGCATGCATGCAAAACACTCACACCTTACATCTTAACTAATCTACAAAGAAACGTAGGATGGTGTAGAGTGAAGCAGCTTGGATCGGGGAAGAATCATTAAGGAACATTTAATACGAGCCTGGCTTTGTGGCACATGCCTGTAATTCTAGTTCTGAGGGTGCTGAGGCAAGAGCATAGCAACGTTAAGACCAGCTTGGGCTTCATAATGATGAGACCCTGCCTCCAAAAAAAAAAAAACCTTACACGGTTACACAGGAAGCAGTGCAGCAGCAGAAACTCAGATTTGCTTAGTCCTGAAGCATCTTAACATTGATGTGTATGGTGTGGGTCTGTTCTTTATGTATGTGTGCAGGATATATCATGTTTAGTCTCTATTGAATTATGTGCCAGGTGTGTGTGTGTGACTCATGCTAGTAATCATAGACTTGGAAGGCTGAAGCAGGAGGATTGCCACAAGTTTGAGGCCAGCCTGTGTTACAGAGTGAAGTCTTGTCTCAGAAATCACAAAAAAAGGGTATGTGACAATGTTCTGTATTATTATTGCAGTTTTTAAATAAAGGAGTGTGTGTGTGTGGGTGTGGTGTTCTTTGTTCAATGTATGCATATGTCTGTGTCCTTGAAGGCCAGATAATGGTGTCAGATTCCCTGGATCCAAAATTACCCTTTGTGGGTGCTGGGAATAGAACCTGGGTCCTCTACAAGAGCCCTTGACTGCTGAACCATCTCTCTAGCCCCATATTCGGTTTGTTTGAAACAAGGTCACATTACACATGAGAAATGTGCAATAGAAGTAGTGCTGGCTACTATAGATAGACGAAGGCACACAGATAAATTGCGGACAAATTTAAATCACGAAGTGTGAGTTTAGCCCCACTCTTAAGCATTCACTGATGATCTGTGAAAGCATTGATGGTGTCTGGGAAGGTTGGCATGTGGTTAAGGGAGCTGTGGACTGATGTGGACCCTTGGGCAGATGGTAATGATGGAAAACAGAGAGAGATCCTGTGGCAGACCCAGTTGAACTTCATGGTTGATTAGATGTGGCAAAAAGAGTTGATGATAACTGCCCATTAAAGGAAATGTGGGTATGACACTGTAAAGCTTGAGTAGAAGTTTCTAATAATCCCCATGGTACACGGGAGCTTGTTTGCATGTAAGCCATTCACTAAATGTCTCGTTCATGGTGTTGGCTGTCATGTAGAGGTGTTGCCCCCCACTACTGATGGAAAATGTTGAAAAGCTCTTTGAGCTCACTGTGTCTCGGGTGTTTTTCTAGCCACTGTATATGCTAAAAGATGGGCCTTGCCTTCAGAGAGCTCACACTCCTGACACTTACTTGGTGTTGTAGTTGTATAGCTTTATTACTTTATAATCAAATATCCTATTGTTTTTTGTTTGTTTGTTCGTTTGGTTGGTTTGGTTTGGTTTGGCTTGGTTTGGTTTGGTTTTTCGAGACAGGGTTTCTCTGTATTGTTTTGGAGGCTGTCCTGGAACTCGCTCTGGCCTCGAACTCACAGAGATCCGCCTGCCTCTGCCTCCCGAGTGCTTGGAATTAAAGGCGTGTGCCACCAACTCCCGGCAAAATATCATATTGTTAAATGAGCAAAAGTTGAAAAACTTCATTCCCATGGATATGGTAAAGACTTGTTCTTCAAGGGGGGGTTAAAAAAAAACATGGTCATTCATAGATAAAGCACAGGTAAACAGTAAGGTAAACAAATACGCAGTATGCCTGTGTGATTAAAATGTCACTGACGGGAACATACCAGAAAAGGCTCTTACTGGGATTGTCAGAGTGGTGCTAAGAAATGAAAAAGCCTCAGAAAACTGAGCTAACTACACTGTAGTCATAGCTGTCAAGATCATGGATGAGAGGGATCCTCTAATGTTAACTGAGCAGATAAACATTTTAGACTTGCTAATAAGATTCTTTTTTGTTTGTTTGTTTGTTTTTTGAGACAGGGTTTCTCTGTGTTGCTTTGGAGCCTGTCCTGGAACTCACTTTGTAGACCATGTTGGTCTCGAACTCCCAAAGATCCACCTGCCTCTGCCTCCCGAGCGCTGGGACTAAAGGCGTGCACCACTAATGCCCAGTGCTAATAAGATTCTTTTCACTGCATTTTACATATAGGTGTATGTTGTCGGGGGCTATGATGGACAGAACAGACTTAGCAGTGTAGAGTGTTATGATTCCTTTTCAAATCGTTGGACAGAAGTTGCACCACTTAAGGAAGCTGTGAGCTCTCCTGCGGTGACAAGCTGTATAGGAAAACTGTTTGTGATTGGTGGAGGACCTGATGACAATACTTGCTCTGATAAGGTAAGTTGTGTGCTTAGAGAATTCCTCATGCCTGTTGAGTGGATAGATGGCTAGGACATGGAGTGTGAGGGATCTTTTAAAAACTGTCTAGCGTCCTGTTCTGAGGAAAAGCACTAACTTTCAAGTTGCCACAGTGACACCATAATATAGCCAGTAATTTGCTATGTGTGACAAATGTGATTTAACCTTTTTGAAATGAGGCTAATCTCAGAATAAAAACCTTTACTGTCATCTACAGGATTTAAATGCAACACAGAAATTGAACGAGCAAAGGTCAAGGCAGTAATGATACTGCTTCTGCTTCCAGCTAGGTCATTTCTTTAAACCTTTGGGTGTTTTGGATTTTTTGTTTATTTTGGTTTTGTTTTTGTTTGTTTTTAGAACAAAAGAAGAGGAAAGATTGCCTCTTCTGTAACTAGAAGATGGCCCAAAGTAGCTGTAGTCATCCAACTCAGAGACAAAAGAACGTGTGCCATCCTGGCATTTCAGGAAATGTCATGTTTATTCTGAGGAGGGGTATCCAATGGCTAATTGGTTTAGTGATGATAATAAAATTTCATCAGTCACTTCATCTATTTTCTTACTTACTGTCAATATGTCATCAGATGGTAAAGGTGCTTACTACTAAACCTGCTCATCTGAGTTCAAGCCCCAGCACCTGCAGTAGAAAGAAGGAGACCACCAGCTCTGCAGGTTGTCCTCTGACCTCCATGTGGGCACTGTGACAATAAGTAGATAAAGTTGCCTATTTACAGTTTATACTAAGAATATATTACATTGAAATTGCCTGGTGTTCTTTTGAAGTAAGGACTACTTAAACACATACAGAAATTATATTCAGATTGGTACATGATTATCTTACATAAGGCAATTTCAGAAAAACTTAAGACTTACTGTTAGTGTACATTAGTAAACATGGAGGCCATTCCTCTTGGAAATAATCTGTATATTTTGTTAGTATCTTCTGCTTGATGGCAATAATTAGCAATTCTTTGGTGATTTTCTTTTTCTTTTCAAACAAAGGAGTTTATCCTTCACCCAAAAGCAGGAATTTTCTTAATTCATAAATTTTATTAATCAGACTAACCTCATTTAATTCTTTGAATTAAAGGCATTTGCTTTTTAACCCTGTTTCTATATATTGACAGATTTTTAAAGCAAATTTACATGTTTGTTTAGACATCTTACTCCATGTTTTTCTGTATCATTAGGTTCAATCTTATGATCCCGAAACCAATTCTTGGCTACTTCGTGCAGCTATCCCAATCGCCAAGAGGTGCATAACGGCTGTCTCTCTGAACAACCTGATCTACGTTGCTGGTGGACTGACCAAGGCGGTGTATTGTTATGACCCAGTTGAGGACTACTGGATGCATGTACAGAACACATTCAGCCGACAGGTAACAGCACAGAGTCCAAACAGAAACTGAGAGGAGATATGTGACATGATTAGTTACTTGAATTTCACTCTTCACATATTTCATAATTTTTTAAACTCCCTCCCAAGGAATTGTCTTTATTCTTTTTTGTTTGTTTGTTTTTTGTAGTGTTGGGGATTTGGGGATTAGGTTCAGAGCCTCATGAATACTAGGTAAACATCTACACTGAATAATGCTCTGCCCCAAGGATTATCTTTAGCAAGTGAACCTTTTTAATCAGCCCAACTTGAGGTAGCCATTGTATTTAGGCTTTTGACTAAAAAAACTCAGTCTTCACATTTTTCAAATTCTTGTTCCAATCTTCTGCCCCTTCCCTTTCATATTTCAGAAGAGAAGAGATCAAACTGAGGGCCCTATAAGTAGAGACTTTTTGTTATAAAGGAAATGTATGTGCTCAGGCCTCGTGCATCCACATGTTCTGCATCTCCTTTTATTCTATTCCAGAAAGGCTCCCAGCTTGCAGGTTCTTGGCTCTGCTCACCTTCCTTTTACTAACAAAATGCTGCTTTACTGCTGAAATTCTGTCTCTCCTTGCATGGTAGTATGTGCACGGGGATGTGGGTGCCCAGAGAGACCAGAAGAGGGTCACTTCCCTTTAGCTTCAGTTACAGGTGATTGTGAGCTACCTGATGTGGGTGCTGGGAACCAAACTCCAGCCTTCAGGAAGTGACACAAGTGCTCTTAACCACTGAGCCAGCCTGTTTTCCCAAAATGTATTTTTTTCTTTCGTTTTATCTGTCCTTCCTTCCTTCCTTTCTCTCCTTTTCTCTTTCTTTGGTCGGGTAGATTTTGCTTTTCTGTCTCTCTTTTACTTCCTTTTCTCTCTCTTTTTTTAAGACAAGGACTCACTTTGTAGTTCTGACTGGTGTGGAACTCACAGATCTGCTTTCCTCTCCCTCTCAGTGCTGAGATTAAAGGTGTGTAGCATACCAGCCTCTTATTTATTATGTATACAGTGTTCTGCCTACATGCCAGAAAAAGCCCACGAGATCTCAGTATATGGTTGCTGGGAATTGAACTCAATACCTGTTTAAGAACACATTCTTAAAGATTGATAGTAGTCATCTGTTGTTTTCATTTTTTCCACTCCATCTTTAAATATGAGTGTTGCTTAGACCTCTTTCCGCTGACTTAGCTCGAGTTTACTCCTGAGTTACTTCATTTGCTGCTCAGGACTCACCTTGTTTCCACCCTTGTTCCCACATGCTACAATGCATTGCCCATGGTGCTCCCTACTCTCCTGCTGTCTCTTCATCCAGAGGCCCCAGAAACCTCACTAGGTTTTTTCACTATCTCTGAAAGAGCGAGGCTTACGTACTGGTCCTGGCCTCTAGTCTAGCTTTTCTAAACCAGTTTGCTACGAGATGCTGTAGCAAATCTCTTGTCCCCTTGACCGAAAGCCTACAGAACGAACTCCATAACTCACCACTTTGTTCTAGACCTTCTGTTGTCTCATCTTTGCTTTCTTTTCCACTTACTCATAGGCAAAAAGCTTAAGAAATGATTGCTTTGTTCTTTTGTTTGTTTTTAGAGACAAGGTTGCTCTGTGTAGCCCAGGCTGTCCTCAAAGTTACAGAGATCACCTGCCTCTGCCACTCAAGTGCTGGGACTTATGGCGTTCAACAACCACGCCCAGCTGATTGCTTGGTTTTTTCAGTTTCATTTTCTGTAACTTTATTCCCGTTGTATTGTGTGTTATTTTTATTTTCTGTGCAAATCATGTGTACATTTTTTACCTTCTGTACTTGTAATTCCACTCATCTTTTAGCAACAAACTCGGATTACCTTGATCAAACTGACCTTTTTCCCCACCACTATTTTCTTAGTATTCACAGAGTATAGCAGTTGCATACTCCTTAAATTTTTTGCTTATTTTATTTTGTTGATTGGTTGATTTTGGTTTTTTGACTAGTTTTCAGGTAGCTGGAACTAGCCTTGAACTCTTGATCCTCAGGCCTCCATCTACAAAAGGTGTGTACTTTAGTGCCAGGATCTCTTAGGAGTTTAGTTTTTATTTTTTTAACATCTGTATATCTGTGTGTATGTATGTGTATCACAGCAGGTGTGGAGGTCTGAGGGCAATATGCAGGATTCCATTATGTGGGTACTGGCATGGAACACACGTTGTTGGGATTGGCAGGAAACACCTTTTAATCAGCAAGTCATCTACCAGGTCCCCCTTATGGTTTGGTGTGAGTCAATGAGTGTGTGTGTGTGTGTGTGTGTGTGTGTGTGTGCGCGCGCGAGCGCGCGCGCGTGCGTGCGTGCGTGCGTGTATACCATGTGTATAAGTGTCTCCAAATACAAGAAAAGGATCTTGAATCCCTGGAATGGTTGCTTAGAACTGAACTTGGGTCCTCTGGAACAGCAGCAAACACTTTTAACCACTAAGCCATCTCTTTAACCTGCCCTGGATTTTTTGTTTGTTTGTTTCTTTTTAGATTTAATTTTTATTTATGGGTCTCTGTGAATGTATGCCACATGTGTGCAGGTGCCCTTGGTGTTCAGAAGAGGGTGTCAAATCTCTTGGAGCTGGAATTGCAGGCGGTTCAACTGCCCGGTGTGGGTGCTAAGAACTGAACATGGGTTCTCTGAAGAACAGCAAGTGATCTTAAGCACTGAGCCATCTCCAGTCCCTGCCCTGGTTTCTTTCTTTTGTTTTTCTTTTTTCTTTTTTTGGTTTTTCGAGACAGGGTTTCTCTGTGGCTTTGGAAGCTGTCCTGAAACTAGCTCTTGTAGACCAGGCTGGTCTCGAACTCACAGAGATCATAGAGACCTGCCTCTGCCTCTGCCTCCCAAGCACTGGGATTAAAGGCGTGCGCCATACTGCCTGGCCCTGCCCTGGTTTCTTAAATGTTTATTTCCTATACTGGCATTCAGCCTTCTTTAGGAAGGATACTGTTGAATTAGCAATTCATTTTCTCTCTGTCTTACATATACTCATGTTCAGAACATATTTTGCTGCATTGGTGAACGAGTGAAGAAGTAAGTTCCCTGACCAGTTGGCTCCCACATGGTGGGCTTGAGTCTCCTCCAGCATTGCACACGTGCTCCTACCCTGGTGCACACAAAATGTAATGTTTTCTTAAGTAAGGGGGGAGCATTATTAAATCAGTGAATATTTCTTTTCCTTCTTGAGTACATTAAGCATTTAAACTGTCATTAAAGTTTAAAATACTTACATGAAGGCAAGTTTGTAATCTTAGCACTTGTGGGTGCTAAAACAGGAGGATTGTTGTTGGTTCAAGGCCTGCCTGGGCTACAGACTAGTAAGATTCTATAGTTTTTGTTTTTAAAGATTCATCCTTATAAGAATATTTCTTTTGCCTAGTAATTATTTACACACAAATACAATTTGGCTAGGGATCTCATTGTGTAGAATAAATTAAAACGTATTGGTGGCATTTCTATGTCCCAGCTAAGACCTCTAATAACAAGTTTTCTTTTAACTATGATTAAAATCTGTTTTTCTGTGGGTGGTGGTGGTACACACCTTTAGTCCCAGCAGAGGAAGGAAGCAGAGAAAGGAGGATCTCTGAGAGTTTGAGGCCAGCCTGGTCTACAGCATGTGTTTCAGGACAGCCAAGGTTACACAAAGAAACCCTATCTTGAAAAACCAAACAAAAAAAACCTTTCTGGTTTATTTATTTTCAACTTAAGTTTCTCTAAAGGAACTAATGCCCCTATTCCTTGGTCATGTGATAATTATAATAGCTTCCCTTCACTGCAGTAAGTTGTTTAAAGCCTACCATGCTCTTCATGTCTTGGCCTCACTAACTTTGTTCATGTAAATATTCAGCACTCAGGTATAACAGGCGCTGGGCAAAAAGATAGATGAGCTGCTTGTACTATATTAAAGCATGTTGTTGCTTCAAATCCTTTATCATCAATAATTAATTTTTTATGTATTTTGTCAAACAGGAAAACTGTGGTATGTCTGTGTGTAATGGTAAGATCTACATCCTGGGTGGAAGACGGGAAAACGGAGAAGCCACGGACACTATTCTCTGTTACGATCCTGCGACAAGTATCATCACAGGGGTTGCTGCAATGCCCAGACCAGTGTCCTATCATGGATGTGTAACTATTCATAGATATAATGAGAAATGCTTTAAACTTTAAACCCAGGGTACCTCACACAAGAAGCTATGCCAGTCCAAGAGGAAAGTTTAAAAACTACCAAGTGAGAACACATCTCTGTTGTGCTATATACAAAAAATAAATAATCCTGATGCCTTTCCACCCAAAATATCAGTATCTCAAGCTGTAATAAATCCTTTCATGTAACTGGGGGTGAGGTGTGTTAAACTGATGGTGGTTAAAACCAGGCATAGTCGTGCACACCTTTAATCCCAGCACCCAGAAGACAAAGGCAGGTAGATTTCTCTTGAGTTTGAACCTAGCCTGATCTACATGACAAGTTCTAGATCAGCAAGGGCTACACAATAAAACCTTGTCTCTAAAAAGATAATTTGCCTATGAATACACTTTTGCATCTGTGAAAAATTATGTGGGGTAGGAAAAGACATCCAGCTGTAAACTTCTTAGGGATTTGTGAACTGTCTTTTAGGAATGTTTATTTCTTTTTTGTCAGTTATGTAGAGAATAATTGTGTGACTGAAGCTTCATTTAGTTTGAGTTTCCTGATGTTAATGTTTAGGACTCATTGTGAGGGGAAGAAATGAGTTTTAAACATCTGTCACTGACTTTATCCATACTGGTTAATTTCATTGAAGGTATTTTTGTTTGTTTGTTGTTTGTTTGTTTTCTAATTGTAAAAATGTAGTGACAAGTCAGCTACCATAAAATACCGAGTTTTATGACTTCATAGACTGTTGTCTGTCATTAAATACTTTTTGTGAGCTTATGTAAGAGATATAAAAGGAGATTCAAATTACACATTAGTTCCTAAGGAAAAAATGAATATAACTAGTGGAGAAGAAAAAAATGTGATCCACTTTGGTTCTCAGGGTTTTTAATGAATCGTTTGAGTCCACTAAAGAAGTTCTTTCTTGAAACTAACAGAGAAGTTGAGATTCCTTTTACAGAGCCAGGAGGTGATGCACACCTGTCTCCAGGCTCTGAAAGGTGCATCCAAAGAAACTAAATTGGGACTGAAGAGATGGCTCAGTGTTTAAGAGCACTTACTGCTCTTCCAGAGAACCCTGGTTTGGCTCCTAGTACCCATATCAGATGGTTCACAAAGGCCTATAATTCTAGTTCCAGAGAACCCAATGCCCTCTGGCCTCCCTGAGCACCTTCGGCATGTGGTGCACATAAATTCACACAGACACACATATGTACATAAGAGAAATCAACCTTTAAAAAAACAAAAGTATGTTTTGTAATACTGCTGTAAGAAAAACAAGACAGGCTTGCTGCCTAGCAGCCCAGTAGAGTTGCCCTTCCTGGTTTGATGCTCTGCTGAGGACCTCTTCTCTGCCTTGTAAGCATCTACCAGTCCTAGGAGTCTCTACACCTGATTTCTAATAACCTAGAGCAGAGGCCACTTTTCTCAGTGGGGCCACTTGTTTGTAAGTTAGCACTGAGCAACACTGGCCAGCAGCAGTTCCAGTCTTCTGAGGAAATCTCTTACTTGGGAGCCATTGTATAAGATAATTGGTCAACATTTTCAAATTTCTATTAGATTTTTTTTCCTCCAGGTTTTTCACCTCATTTACAAAGCTTACCAGTTTTCAAAGGGAAATAACAAAAGTTTTTTCTTAGAAATATACTGGGTAAAGCAGGAACTAGCATAACTAGTTATTGTAACTTCTGCGTGGACAGATAACAGTTCACAATGCTGTAGGCTGTCCCAGGTAGCTTGCTGTGTTTAACTTCCCTTGTCAGTGACTATAGTGTCATTAGATTTCTGCCAAAATCAAGGTAATCATCAGAAGCCTAACACTGGCAAACTTCTTCCTCCTCATCTTAGACTAATACAGACATTTCTTAACAGTCAGTGCTTATTTGAAATCTAAATTCTGAGAAAAACACTAGAAAATACACTTATGAAATTGTTTTCAAGTCATAAATTTTAAATGACATAACTGATAACTATAGAAGCAATTCAGAAAACAATTATCAGTCAGTTGAGAGACAGTTGTATGTACAATTGAGGGTATTTGTACTGTAATTTTATAGTATATACCTGCATTATACTTTTATTAGATAATGCAAACTGATTCAGAAATTCTTAACAGTAAAATGTGTGAACAAAGGTGGTTTTGTAAATGCTTAGGATTCTACAAATGCTAATTGTTATTCTCATGTATATTTGTAAGATTGTGTCCATTCAGAAACTCATCATATAAAAGACTTTCTCAAAGTAAATTTGTATTTTATTAATTTTGTCTATTGTAAAAGTCTGTTGTAAAATATCTACTTGTATTTTGTAATATTTATCTTTCCTTGTGTTTATTGTAGCAAATTGGAAAATATCCTGAAAAGCTGAATTTGTTTAAACAAATTAATTTTTCTTTATGCAATTTAAAACCACATAAATTGAGTAGTTGCAAATTATGTTAAGTCACAAGAAAGTATCTTGAATTGTAGAAAATTAATTTTTTAAAACTGCCCAGTTGATGTTTTAACTTCTTTTAATTAGTTATCTTTCTTATATTTTAACTTCCTTTAATTACTTATTTTTCTTTACTAATTCTTGATAAATGGTGGTAAGCAGCCCTGGTTTGAGAAAAATTATTTTAGAATTTAATTAGTACATTAAAAGGGAAGTATCAACCATCTTGGTGTCAGACTATATTCATTCTGTCCTCCCATAATTGGCAGATTTTCTTTTGGTAGGTGATACCTCTAAGTTATGTGTATGTGTTTATATGTAGACAGTTTGCTTGTGTACATACATCACAAACACCCATTGATTTTTTTTTGCAGAGACAGATATTAGATAAAAATTAGTTGATCATATTCTATTCAATGCAGAAGACTAAATTTGAATACTTCTGGAGTACTTTTTGTTGTGAGACAAGATCTCTGTAGCCTGTGCTAACCTCAAACTCTTAGCAATTCTTTGCCTTTTGAGTGCTGCAGGCACAAATGGAAGTCAGCACCAGTTCTCTACAATAGTGGTTTCATCTGACAGTACAGATCAGGGCATGAGGCTCTGTGCACCTGTGTGATGGCAGTGTTAAGGGGCAGAAGGCAGACTGCTCAGATCACAAGAGTCAGCTGATCATCTCAGCTGGAAAGAACTTGAAGGTGTGTTTTGTGGATCAACAGGAAGTTACACTTGGTTTTTGTGTGCATTTTGTCATGAACTTCAAATCTTCCAACTCTTCTTCATGTATGTGACAAGGTGGCCTGAATTCCTCCTCTTCTACGGTGCCATCCCCACTGACTTTACTAATAGATGATTTGGATTTTCCGTAGTTGTTTTTGTAGATGATTGGGGTCCAGGTGTTTACTCCATTTCAATCAGGTTTAAAGACGTAAATGCTCAGGGAGGATGTGAGCTTGCCACTGCTGCCTGTTTGGGGAGTGTGCAAAGTGTTGTCTCTTAAATGCCGTTCAGTTGATGACTCTGGACTAAAATTCTTCTAGAAGCTTCACACTTGGCTGTGGTTGCGGTTGAGCAGTTGCTCTACTTAGAAGAATGGCAATGCTTTGTGAACTGATTCAGTCTCCTGGTGAATTGAATTATATACCTGCTGTCAGACTCCATTTTGAAACTCAGGAAAGACAAAGGTGGTTTCTCTACTTTTGTCCGTGTCCAGACCGGGTGTGTGCTGCTTTTTCCTGATCTGACAGTAGATTCTAAAAATCACTTTTAAGAGCCCATGCACAAAGAGAGGAGGGGAGTTGTTCCTTTAACGTCTTAGGATGCATATGTGAAAAGGATACATACCCCAGACTTGATGTGGTACCAAGTGATAACATAATGTCTAGAGGTTTCCTGTGGACTGCCTTGTTTCATAGTCAATCCAAATCATTACTAGTTAACATGATTTGGCCTTGCTAGACTTAATTACGCATAGCTGAGTATGGTGGCAATGCCTGTAATTCCAGCCCTCAGGAGTGGCGGCACTGGAGGTTCAGGAGAGTTCAGTGAGCTTGGGGCCAGACTTCGCCACATGAAATAATAATGAAATTTTTGGCGTTAGGTAGAAAGCTAGAATTGTATCACTTCACCCATTATTATGTTAGATAAAAAATTCACTATACCACATAACCATAATGAAGCAGTTTGGCTGACCTGTAAAGCAATAGATTCGACTCACTAAATATACTTACAGCCACATCTAATGCCATGTATCAGACACCACTCCAAAGAGTGTAAACTGATAATACCAGAGATATTTTCAAAATATTTTAGACATTTTAGAGTGTTGTATTTGTAAGCAGGTAGGAGAGATGGTTCGGCAGTTAGGAGTTCTAGCTCTTCTGCTCTTGCGAAGGATCTGGGGCAGGTTCTAGGCACCTTCATGGTGGCTCACAAGCATTTGTAACTCCAGTTCTTGGGGTTCTTATGCCCTCTGACCTCCACAGGCACACATTTGTTGCATATACATTATGCGCAAACACTCAAAGTACAAGTAAAACACTCATACACATCTAAATCAATGAAGAATATTAAAATATTGTATGTGAACCTTTTTATATTTGTGTGATTACCTTAAATATTAAGCTTACAAGTGCCAAAGGTGATCCTAAATTTTTTAAAAGTGAAGTCATAACTTTCTATTATTGTTCCAAAGAGTTTTTTTAATGCTTGTGCCTTGAATTCCCAGTGCCATTTCTGTCTGTTAAAATTCAGCATACATAAACTGTGGATGTGCTCCCAGTGCAGTTAATGCACTTCTTATTTTTTGTTGTTTAGTTTTATTTTTAAGTTTTCTTTTTGAAACTGGGTTGGTTTTATCTTTTGAATCAGGGTCATATATAACTCAGACTGGCCTAGAACTGTTTTTGTGTTGCTGAAGATGGTCTTGAACTCCAGTTGTTCTCTCTGTGACTCCCAATGGCGCGGATGATAGCATGTGCCGCCACACTTGACTGTTTGGGCTCTTGTCTGTGAGTTGGTTGTTTGGTTGGTTGATTTAATGTGGCCCTGGCTGACCTGGAACTCAGTACATGGCCAGTCTGGCCTTGAGCAATGGCAGTCCTTCTGCCTCTGTCCTTAAATGCTAGGTTTATAGGTGTGGGCCACCACACCCAGCTGCCCTGAAATGCTTTTGTGAGTCCCAACTATGTAGTTGCTTGGCAGAATGAGACTGTTAAATGAGGTTGGTTTACATTTTTAACTCTTGGTACCTAGGTGCTTTTGAAATTCTCAGATAAACACCCATTTGACTCTCATAAAGGTCATTGAAATATCTAATAGTGAAGAAACTGTAATTATTTCTGTTCCGTCCTTATAGTAGTAATTAGTTGTGCTCTAGGGTTTTCCTTTGAACTTTCTTACTTTCTTGAGAAAGCACTTTGTTGTCTTCATCACCACCACCACCCCACCCCCACCACCCCCCCACTCTCCTACCCCCCCACCCCCCCCACCCCCCCGCAGTGAGTGACTCTCCAGAGTTAGCTGAGGTAAGGCTTTCAGAACTGAGCAACTGTAATGTGCTTTATTGTAACTGCTTCACGCCTATTGCTTTCAGTTTGACTCTTCAAAATGAAAATAAGAATGTTTTTTCTATGTCCTTGTTCTCAGTTCAGTTGTAGTACATTAATTGTCTAATGGCACTTCTTCCATAGTTTAAATTTTTAAAAGTTGTATCTAATGTCTTTTAAATATTACTTGACTATATGGTTGCATTAAATTTTGTTTACCAAAAATCTGATGAGTTTCAGTTTTGTTTTAATGTACCCAAGTGATTGTGTGAAAAGGGACAAGGGGAACATCAGACATTTATATTTACCAGAATAACCCTAAAATAACTCAGGACATAAACAAGAAATAATAGTGATTTGAGGAAAGGAGATGGTAGCCAACAAGAATACTCAAGTTGTGTGTTGAGCGTGGTCCCTGGTGTTGAGGAGGAACTGTTCACATAAAGCGTAGCTGGGGTTTAATGAAGATTTGTTAATAGTTTACCTATGAGGTTTAAGAGAGTGGACACAGAATGCAGGACACCGACCCACCCAAGGGCATGGGTGTTGGTTTCACAATCAGCCTAATACCTTGGAGGGCAGGAAGGGTATTGGATCCCCAGGAACTCAGTTACAGCTGTGAGCCCTTGTGCCTGCAGGGAACTCCCAACCCTGGAGTGGTGGAAGTTTTCAGAAAGGCTTCTAGTCTGTTCCTGTATTCCTTTGCTTTGCCATCTGTAGCCAGGAACTGCTCACAATGCTGGCTTCTTGTCAAAATTAAATAGTATACTCCAGTTTTATGAGCTGTGTCTAGGGACTGGCTGCTCTGTGGGCAGAATCCTGCCTGGCTTCTTTGAGATCATTTGCCCTCTTATTTATTGTGACGGCAGAACACATTTTCCTTCTTGGGGCATTCTCATTAAAAATCAATCTGGAGCATGATGATACAGACCTTTAAAGCCACTTGGGAGGAAAGGGCATGTGAATCTGTGAGTTCAAGACCAGCCTACTCTACATAGGCTTCCAGCCAAGGCTACACAGTGAGAACCTGTCTCAAAAAAAATTACATATATACGTGTGTGTGTGTGTTGATACATACATATATATATATATGTATATATTAGCCAGTGATTTTTAAAAGGATTTTATTTATTTATTAGTTATATATACAGTGTTCTGCCTGCATGTCAGAGAAGGCACCAAATCTCATTATAGATGGCTGTGAACCACCATATGGTTGCTGGGCATTGAACTCAGGACCTCTGGAAGAGCAGCCAGTTCTCTTAGCCTCTAAGCCATCTCTCCAACCCCAAGCCAATGAATTTTTTTAAATATCAGATATTGTCCCAAAATCATGCTCTGTTTGAAGTGTAGATTCACCTTTATGGGGGTAAAAAGGAGAAAATGATAGTTCCTGTGGGGAAACCAAGGACCACTGACAATATCTCGTGAAGAATTGGGAGTGCAGCCAGGATGTAAGTCTAGAGCACTTGTTCCTTAGCCGACTGTGTAACTTTTTTCTCTTTAGGACCTAAGTGGAGGACGAGTTCTTCAGAAATGTTGATTAAAGCAGCCTTAATAACTTCATACCAGATACCTGAGGACAGTAGCACGTGTTAGAAGTCAGATAAATGGGGAAAGAGCTTTTACTTTCTCAATGGTTTTAAGTTAGTTTGCCCTTCTGTACATGTTTATTAGCTCTTTGGATATGGTAAAAAGAAGCTTCCCCAGATTTTTTAAGTTGTAACAAAGTCAGTTTTTAAAAATAAAGTTTTGAATCCTTTTTTAAAATAATGAAGCCTAGTGGAAGGCAGATAATTATGCATTGCTGCCCTTGTAAGGGGTTGAGTAGGTCCACTCTGACAAGAACAGGTTGATATTTAGCTCTGTCTGCTCTGTCTCTGGCTTTCTGTGATCATCAGCTCTCATGCTTCCGCCACCATGACGGCATCTATGCTGTAATCAAGACAGAGGGCCCCCATGTGAGCTAATGGGTCGTCTTCACCCATTTAAGCTGTGAGCAGAATAAGACTTGTTCTGTATAGACTACCCGACCAATTAAGTCTAAATTACCTACCCAGTATCCAGTGAGAGTTGGGTGTGGAGGCACACAACTTTAATCCCATCACCTAAAAGCAGAGGCAGGCAGATTGCTGTGAGTTTAAGGCAAATGAATAAATAAATAAATAGATCTAGAACTATGATGTGACCCGGCTCTGCCACTCCTAAGCATGTACCCAAAGGACTCTACCCTGCCACAAACACTCACACATCCATGTTCATTGCAGCTCACCTCACAAAAGCCAGGATTGGGAGGCCATCAAAAAATCCAACATAGTGGACCCCAAATGCTGTAATGCTGACCTGTCAAAGAAATGTGCATGTTGTCATAGTAGCATGCCTGTTCCAGGAATGATCATTTACTTCTTGGCTGGGTCTGAGGCCCACCTTATTGGAGGGAATACATGCTTGATGCTTTAAACCTGGTCAGTAGCTGACACGGTAGCCTATGCCTTTAATCCTAGCACTTGGGAGGCAGAGCCAGGCAGGTCTCTGACTTCAAGGCCAGCCTGGCCTACATAGCTAGTTCTAGACCAGTCAGAGTTACATGATGAGACCCTGTCTTAAATAAATAAATAAAAAGTCTTCAGCGTTGGGTGGAATATTCTCTAGATATCGAGTCTGTTTGATCTGTACTATCACTTTGTTTATTTCTGGGTTTTAGGGAAGACTTACTAATTGGTGAGAGTATAGTATTGAAGTCACCCTCTGCTATTGTACTGAGGTTATATATGTGACTTTACATTAAAAAGTACTTGACTGAGCATGATGGCATATAACTTTCATCCCAATACTTGGGAGGCATGGAGACCTCTGAGTTTCAGGCCAGCCTTGTCTACATAGCAAATTCCAAGTTAGGGCTACATAGTGAGGCCGTTTCTCAAAAAAAAAAAAAAAAAAAAAAAGAAGTGGGGGGCAGATGAGGATGAAAACAGGAAAGTAGAAGTGAGATGCAGGTTAGTAGTTTAGTAAAGAATGATTTTACCATTTAGATGCAACAATCCTAAATGGTAGCTGAGCAGTGATGAAAAGAAAACCCTCATGAGGTAATAGGCACAAGGGTGGAGATTAACTAATGGAGAGTAAGAAATAACTACGGAGTGGGCTGCTGGAACAGCTGCTCATAGTTCAAAGGTAAAGTTCTCAGATCTTCTGATCTTAGCAGGCTCCACTTGGTGCTGTGAAGGGATGGGGTGAGTGGGAACAGTGGTCTGGGCAGCTCCTGTGTTTGCTGGGGTTCTGGTTTGTGAGGAAGGGAGGTGGTTTGGTGATAATTCCCTCAGACTCCTGGACTCCACTGTAGCCTATTCTGGTCCTGAAGGTCCAGAGTATGAGAGAAACATACTTCTCTTCCGGAGCATCTTGATTAGGACATCTAGTGTGATTTTTATTTTTTAAAGAAAATTCCACGTTCATTTCCTTAGTGTCTGCACCAATTTACAGTCCCATCAGTAAGGAATAAAAGTCCCCTTTCCTCATCCTCACCTGATTTCTTGTCACCTTTCTTTCTTCCAGTATTCACTCTCACTGGAATAACGTGGAACCTCAAAGTACTTTCCTTTTTTTGAGATGTATTAATTGCCAGGCAGTGGTGGCACACACCTTTAGTCCCAGTACTCAGGAGGCAGAGACTGAGGAATCTCTGAATTCCAAGCCAGCCTGGTCTACAGAGTGAGTTCCAGGACAGGCTCCAAAGCTACAGCGAAAATCTGTCTCAAAAACAAAGAAAAAAAAGATTTATGCATTATTTATACAGTGTTCTGCCTACAGGTATGCTTGTGGGCTAGACATGGGCACCAGATCTCATTATGATTGAGAGCCACCATGTGGTTGCTGGGAACCAAACTCAGGGCCTCTATAAGAGCAGCCAGTGCTCTTCTGAGCCTTCTCTCCAGCCCTCAGAGTACATTAAATGTGTACTTCCTGGTGACTAAGTGCACAAGAGTGTTTTCAATATTTATTCCCTGTTTGTATTTCTTATTTTGGTCATTGTTGAGTTCCTTTTTGAAGTGGATTCTATATTTTCTTTAGGTTTATTTTTCTTTAGTTTTATATATTATTGACACTAATCTGTCAGGTATTTGGTCCCATTGTGTCAGCTGTCTCTCCATGTGATTAACTGTTTCTTTACAGAGCGCTCTGTAATTTGACCAGGTTTCCATTTGTTAATTTGGTTTTTATTTCCCGAGTGACTCTGGTCCTATCTGGAAAGTTCTCATCTATGCCTTTGTCTTACTTTTTGCTCTGACAGTTTCCAAGTTTGGGTTTTTTGTTTGTTTGGTTGGTTGGTTTTTTTGGTTTTTCGAGACAGGGCTTCTCTGTGACTTTGGGGGCTGTCCTGGAACTAGCTCTTGTAGACCAGGCTGGTTTTGAACTCACAGAGATTCACCTGCTTCTGCCTCCTGAGTGCTGGGATTAAAGGTGTGCACCAGCAACGCCCAGCTAAGTTTGGGGTTTTATATTCAGGTCCTAGATCCATTTGGAGTTGATTTTTGTGCAGTGTGTGAGCGAAGGGTCTACTTTGGTGCTTCCCCATAGAGAGGGCCAGTTTAGGCCTGAAGAGGTTGTCTTTTCTCCCCTGGGTTTTTTTTTGTTGTTATTGTTGTTTTTTGTTTTTTTGTTTTGTTTTTTTTTTTTTTGCCTCTTTGTGTTTCTCCCCCACTCTAGGAGGCCTCCTCACAAAAATTTTTAATTGGGGCTGGAGAAATGACTCATAGTATAAAAAGCACTGGCTGCTCTTGAAGAGGACCCAGGTTCAATTCCTAGCACCCATGTGGCAGCTCACAACCACTTTTAGCTACAGTTCAGTGGGTTACAGTGCCTTCTTCTGGCCTCCAGGAGCACTAGGAATGTATGCGAGGCATCCATGCAGGCAAAACATCCATTCGTGTAAAAATTATTTTTTAAAAAACCACCAGTTCAGTGAAATGAAGAGGAAATAGAACACACCCCTTCTGCTTCTCTATGGTTGGCTGGTAAGAGGCAGTGTGTTTCTGGCTAGGTTGAGGTCTTCGGGGAGTTCAGAAGAGGTCTTATGATTATCTTTTGACATGTGTTTTTGTTTTTGTTTTTCCCCCCAGACAGGGTTTCTCTTTGTAGACCAGATTGGCCTCGAACTCACAGAGATCTGCTTGCCTCTGCCTCCTGAGTGCTGGGACTAAAGACGTGCTCCACCACCGCCCAGC